CACAACATAAACACCAACTGTAAAGATCAGTTGAAATACCTATGGCTCATCAGATCAAACATTTCAGCCTACTTCGCAGAGATTTGTAATTGTTTTTATTAATTTTAATTCGTTTATTCATATAGGACAAAATCCAGTTATAATGTCTTCGCGACTATATTTATATTCGCGTTATTTCTCAACTCCCAAAATTCTCGAAATATATTTGGTTAACAGAACATACCAATATTTTATTTAGCACCGGCTACAACAGACAAGACGTCAGGCGAAATTGATGCAAGTAAAATTGGAGGAATAATTGGTGGATCAGTAGCATTTGGTATATTACTCACTCTTATAATGATTTGTGGAATAAAGTATTTCAGAACTAGAAATCGTAATGAAAATGCGGATCCGTATATAGATGCTATTCCAGATTACGAACTTAGACAATACACAGAAAAAGAGGAATGTAGTAGTACGGATTCACCACCACCGCCATACCAGATTCAACCTGCAATTAATCATAATTTTTATTTTGACTCATCTCCTGGACAAAAAGTTTGATATTGACAATTGTGAAATAAAAGATTTCTTCATAACATCCGCTTTTAATACGTGTTGTTTCAATTTTTTACAGCACTGGGTCGATACCTCTGCTAGTGGACTATCAGTCCTAGAGGGTATGATCAGCCCAGTAGTAAGTACTTCGGTATTGACATGATTAATAACAAACCTTTCTAAAATTGTTCGTTTATAGATTTTAAAATTATACAGAAACTAAGGTTGCAACTCCCTCAGGCAAAGTTGAGCTTAGATTGATTTTGCTATTTTTTTAAGTACTTTTGGTTATATAGCTCTTCAGCTGTTTTGGTTCTTATATATCCTCGGCTTTCAAATATTCGGCTTTGAGCGTTCCTGGTTAAGGTAAATCCAGAAAAGCGCTTCGAACGCATGAAATTAATAACGTGTGTTTTTATATTTTTTCCCATATCATGCAAAGACCTTTTCTAGGAGGAACAATTTACATAATCTGTTTTTTAACATATTTTTTATAATTTACATCTCCTTATTATATATATTTTTATATAGTTTTTTTATCATGTTTTTATTCTTGTATTAAAAACAAGGTACAAATAAATGTTTGCCCCTCTCCAAATAAGTTTATATTAATATCATTGATGGTCTTAGTAAAGAAACTTGAAAAAACAATAATGTTATTGTGTTCCGGTGAAAGGAAGGTTGCCTAGCAACGGTTTTAGCTAGATTTTAAATTATCACATATTAATTGCTTGATCAGTGAAAATTAGATCAATTCCAAATAATATGGTCTGTTTAAGAAGAATTTGAAGTCACAAATGAAAAGTCCCTATATGGTTAAAAAACAACCTAGCAACGATTAAAAAATGGGTGTTTTCCCCTCTGAAGTATGAATTTAGCAGTTGTTTCGAGATTTTTCTTTTCCATATAGTATTGCATTCAATATACTGTCTAAGTCATCATTATTCTTTTTAACAAATTCCGTATTGAGCATAGCAAAACAAATGTTGCTTAGCAACAGCAAACAAAGGTTTGAATTAAAGACAACTACTAATCAATTAGTAATTTTCTAGTACAAATTAAATTAAATGCAATACAGATTGTTTGTTTATAAACAATATATTAGTTATAAATGATAAGTCAGTTCAATTGTAGTTCACTTAATGCTTATTAACAACTTATCTAGAAAACAAGTGCCTAGCAACCGTTCAGTAGTGTTTTTTTTATGTTATCTGAACTATGAATTTAGTAATTTTGGAAGAATATACATGTACTTTCTCATAAGGTGTTACACTATAATATAACCATATAGATTATCATTAATCTTTTTTATGAATTCTATATCGAGCATAGAAACACACATGTTGCTTAGCAACAGCAAACATTTTTTTTTAAATTAAAGACAACTACAAAACATACGTTTCAATGTGAAGGCTATCATGAAAAGAAGACTATAAAGAATTTACTAATTAGGGGTTGGTCTGAACAGTTTTTAAAGATATTCAACAGTGAAAGTCACTTGGAAGCCAGGCAAAGAAAAATGAGAACTGAGTACTAAATAAACTGTCGTTTCTTTGATGATGAAATGAAATATGGAATATTTTTTTTTTATCTGTAAACATGATGTGGATACTGGCGATGTCGAAAACGATTTCTCTTTCGTTGTCGAATGATTCGTGAATCATCATGTAAAATTCACAGTACGTGTTTCTCTTGCATTTTTAATGTTTTCATTTTGTTTTTGTGTTTTTATATTTTGTTTTTCAAAATGACTAATTATTTTTGGACATGCAAGTTACTGATAAAAGTATATGGTTGCAGAAGTCAATTCTTTTGGTGGATGCGTATGTTTAAGCAAGAATTTATAAAAGAACGATTCCTATTATATGCATCCTTCATTTTAGTCAATGTACCATTAAATAAATAGAATTAATTAATTAAAACTATACATAATCTTGTCAAAACTGACCGCACATTAAATGTTTTTTCAAATCGCACAATTTAAAAAGTCGTAATAGAATGACACTTAGTTATCTCAACTTTTAATTATCAATAAATACATTACATATTTGTCTCATAAGAAGCAATATTTTGATTGACGACAACAATCGAGAGGCATTCCAAAATCAGATGTTATTTCCCCCTAACTACAACATTTATGACAGCACGTAATTCCCTTGACAACGTCATGAGATTGCATAGGAAGACAAACTAAAAATTTTGGTGCACAGTTTTGCTTGGTTAGTAATTTTTCCGCCCAGCGCAAAATTCATAAGACAAACAAACACCGGCCGGGTCAAACTAAAGACTCTAAAATTGGTATTTGCTGATTCTCCGCTAATCACGTGGCATTAAGGGCAAAGAACAAAGACTAGTTGGCTCGTAGTCAGAATATACAATGTCCAGTTAGGGTGATATGTCTTCCTGCGGACTGTAATCTTGTGAGCTAGCACGTTAAAAATCATGACACAAACAACCCATGCAGTAACGCGATGTCCAGTAGTCAGCACTTCTGTGTTAACATTAGTTATCATTCATATGTTCGTATATTGTAAATAAACTGTTAACAAAACTTTGAATTGTTTGAAAAACTACGGATTTTCTTTTCGGGAAATAGACAACCTTAGCTGTATTTGAGAAAAAGTTTCGGAATTTTGAGTCTGTTTTGGTCTTTTGGCATATTTTATTCAACTGTGAAATTCTATCTTCAATTGTAAATACTGATGCTGCAAATGATAAATGAATGAATATCCCAAACATGTGTGAAAAATATGCCAACATAATTACAAATACTGCAAAACTGTAAATACATGCACCAAGAGTAACTGGTCAACATTCTTAACGGCAAGATTATTAGGCTTTATTTCAAGACTATCGTATATCTGAAATATTTTCGAATCATATAATCGTTAAAAAAACATGCTCTCTCGCAAAAATGAACTGAGAATTTGGTGTGTTTTACATGTTTTATGTCGGATTGTGAATTTTAAATTATTTATGTCATTGAAAATGCATTGTTACCGTTAATCTGTTTGTCTAAAATTGACAGCTGGGCATTCATGTCATTGAAAAGTCAGTGTATCCAGGATGCATTGACAACCTTTTGGAACGTGTGTTTACTTAGAAGACGCGCCTTTTAATGCGGCGGAAAACGTGAGATTAAAAAGCCCGCTTACTTCCTCTGTCTACTGAAATTTTGGTGTTAAAACTGAGTTAATGTGGCGTTTACATGGGGTGGAAGTGAGTGGACGCCGCAATAACTTTTCGCGCAGGTTTGAATATAATGTTTGGTCTGTACCCAACTGAACATGTATATCAATGTATACTAAGTTATGTTTTAATTGTTCAAAAACGAATTCAATGTTTGTACCGATTACAACAATATTTAAAGATTTTACTACTATGTTAAATTGAAAACCTTGAGAAAAAGTTTATTCAAACGATCGATTAGTTTACATCGATCTTACTAAATCGCGCTATTTAAACAACATCACCGTAAACATAAGGATGTGATATTCTGAAGAAAATTAAGGCTTAACCTCCCAATTGTGCACATATTTAACTGTGAAACTATGAATTCGTGTAAAGCTTGAAATATAATTGAGAATGAAAACGGGAAATGTGTCAATGAGACAACAACCCGACCAAAGAGCAGAAAACAGCCCAAGCCACCAATCGGTCTTCATCGCATCAATATAAGCCTGAAAGTGCGGGCTTCAGCTGGCCCCTAAACAAAAATGTATACTTGTTCAGCGATATGAACGCCACAATAAACTCCGAAACATATAAATTAACCAAAATTACAAAACACACATGTCTAACATTGTCTAGAGGTTCCTTACTTGGGGCAGGCGCAAAAATGCGGGGGGTTAAACATGTTTTGTGAGATTTGAACCCTCCCACTATAACTTTAGCTAATGTGGAATACATAAACACATAGTATACACACAGTAAAACTCAGTTTAAAAGACGTCCAAGTCCAATATTAGAATAGGTAACAGAAGAAACTAAGCAAAATGACAGATTTTTTGGAAAATGGTAAAGTTGTCAGAGGGAATTGGACCTACGTTCAGCAGAATCTGTTAAAAGGCAACGGGTGTATTTTTTTTTTTTTTGATTTTATTATCTTCATGCTTGTGTCTACATTGTCAATTATTAAAAACTCATTTATATCACTATACTAATTCACATATCATCAGTATTGTTTGCCGTACATTATTTGTGAAAAATAGTAAACATATTATATTACATTTAAACTTTGAATCCGTCCACTCCCTAGCATCAATATCAATTGTAGTATGTCAATTTAAAGTCCACAGATCATGAACATAGGGAATTTAACAAACTGAAGCACAGAAGAACAAAAGGTTTATTTGCCGTAACGGTGATTTTTTTGTAAATTTATAGTGTTTTAATATTCGTACTTTTATATTAAACACAAATATAATTACGGCAGTTAGATCATTATCTTTAATGTATGCAATCGCTTCAGTGGATTTATACACATATTAATAATTTTAAATATTTGCTGTCAATTTATTTTTCCATCATGGGAATACTAGGTGATTTATCTTAAGGTTAGTCATGTATTTATAAATCAATTGGTGGTTGTTTTTAAAGTGATTAGGATTATAACACAATGTTGACTTTTGTACCCCAATTTTTTACATTTTTACCTATTATGTCTTTTTTTGTGCTCACACATTGTAACCAATATAATGGAATTCTATGCGACTGTCATACAAGTGAGAGGTTCAGCTAGCTGTAAAGCAAGGTTTAATCCAACATTTTCTACATAAGGAAATGCCTGTACCAATTCAGGAATATGACAGTTGTTTCCCATTCGTTCGTTGTGTTTGAGCTTTTGATTTTGCCATTTGATAAGGGACTTTCCGTTTTTTTTTGTTTTCCTTGAAGTTCGGTATTTTTGTTATTTTACTTTTCATTAATTTCTGTTGTTTCCACAGAGAGAAAGAATGGAGTTTAATTTTAATATCCGTGTAATTTATATTACTTATTTGTTTTTGCATAATGAAGGAAAATTATAACTTTTGCTTACATCCAGTTCATTTAAGGTAGCAGGGGTGTCTAAATGTTCGAAGATAGATTTTTCTTAAACTTTTATAAAAGACTTCTGGGTCAATGTTATTCCAAATTTCAATATAAAAACTGGGGATCACAGACCTAGGTTTTTCGTAATAATACATTGAAATTAACGAAATTTGGGTTATTTCATATTGTTTATATAGGGGAAACTGAAGTTTATTGATTGAGGAAACATTAAACGATAGAATTAGCTAAATTTCAATGAGAGAATCGCTTTTCATTAATACTTCTGAAATATCAAATATTTTCTTGAAAAAATTCCCAAAAAGTTTAAATATACTTTACGACACTTAGTATTTAGATAGTTCAATCTTTAAATTTCAAGTTTTAGGTATTTTGTGGTAAATTGAATGATACTTGGTAAAATATTTTTAAAACAAAAAAGTATTTTACAACATGACCAGAACGGACGCTCGGAAAAAGACACCCGATCTACCTTAAACTGTGGCAGATAGTTGTCTCCTTTGCAATCATACAACATATCCTTATTAACAAAAAAACAATTCATTTGCATTATATACAGGCACAATTCGTATGGCACTACACTAGGTCAACTCGTATAGCATTAAATTATCAACAATGTCCTTGCATTACACTGGGTACATTCTGATCAAATTTCACTAGCTACATTTTTTTAGCATCATACTGGATGGATACATTCTCATAACATCACCCTTGGTACATTCTTAAACTATAGCATTACATCAGTACATTTATAGAATTACACCAGTGCATTTATAGCATATCACTATACACAATTACAATATACACAATGCTAAGGCATAACACTGGGAATGATCTGTGCTACGGGAAGTTATATCAAAAACTCCGATCTGTTTTATTTTTGCTGAAATTCATTTGCGGGTTCTTCTTTTGACCTTATTACAGTCATAAAAATTCTCAAGATAATATATGCAGATGCAGTTTTCTTATTTTGTTGGAGTCGTGCATTTGGATATTTAACAAATAATGGAAAATTATAATTACTGTCTTTGTTACTGAAACTCCAGCAAACATTATATCATGTCGTCTAGTTAAAAAAAAAGGGAAAGCGTACGAGACGTGCACGTGTGTAAACCTGACAAATAAAATGGGTTTTATGCGCAATACCTCGAAAAGCGCCGAAATGGTGAGGATGAAAAAATGCTAAAAATTATATTTACTTTTTTTAAATACAAGCATCAGAAATAAGATTTTAAAAATGACGTATATACGCGATCCCAATCTTATAACAGATTATTTAAATATGTATAGAATCATTCTGTCAACGCTGTGTTAACCGGGACAATTTCAAACTTGATATTTGATTCATAAAAATTAGAACAATACAATCATTTCAAAAATATGTGGAACCCTGTCTAATTTAGAAAAGATGGAGTTAAATTCTATACAGTAACTTTCTTTTACACGTACTTATTATATATATCATGTATATACATATATATACTTTTTCAAAATGATTGAAAATGTAACTTGCTTTGGAATAAATTAAATCCCGTTCGTATATTTTTATACGCAAGGCGATACATCATACATTCGTAGTACTGTAGATCTCTACTTCGAGTGAAAATATTAATGAATCTGTAGTACCTTATAAGATATTGTAGTCTAACATAACGCTAAAGCCCCCACCCAAATACAAGAGTGATAGCACCCGTCAAAACTGAATGGTTAATGCCTAATAAAAAGCCTTAAAAAAGCAATATCACTGTGTATTTGACACGTTTATGAACAAAAAGAGGTATGGAGTAAAAGTCATGGGGACAATAACCGAACAACACAAAACAATGATGATGATGATGATGTTGATGATGATGATGATGATGATGATGATGATTGATGTCAACCACAGAGTAGAACCCGTGTATATTCCCCAGGCTGTATGCTAGACAATGCATTGAACATGTTATAACTGAAATGTTACAAAACATAGCCTAATATACCATTCAATTAAAATCAATTCTTTACCTCTAGTAAAATTCGAGGAATTTCAAGTGAGCACGAGTCATCGATCAAGAATAAAAACTTAGAAAATGGAAATGTTATTTGCGCTTGTATATATTTTTGGAATGTTTTCTGGTGAACATGCTACTGATAGCGTCGATGGCAATAAATTAGCACAGGAACTTAAAAAGATAAAAGAAGACATTGGTGTCAATTATATGCAGGTATCTATATATAGATAAAAAGATATATTGCTCCTTTCAGAAAAAGACAAATCTAATATTTATATATATTTGATAGAAAATAATTGATAAATAAAAGCTATAAAAAGTTTGTACATTCTTATTCAAAGTTAAATTTATGAAATTTTACAAGTTGACACAGGTCAATTATGTTGTACTTTCTGAAGTGATACATAAATATCAATTAAAAATATGTGCAAAGCAGTATAAAGAAAAAACAATAGCCCCCAATAAAATCAAGGTCTTTATACATCTTCATTTGCACATTATTTAAAATTATAGCGATGCGTTTTCCGTGACAACTATGTTATCTCTTTAAAATGACAAGTAAGTAAAAATTCATATGAATGTATTAAGTTTTATAAGAGACATAAACGGAAATCTGGGTACAAAAAAACCGCTACCCGACATCATTAAAAATCAAAAACACCTATACCAACATAAAGTCTTTAAAATGACATGTCTATCAACCTAGCAAGTCTCTATTTCACACTGCCCCAAGGGAATTGTTCTTACGCATCTGGTCTTTGTAAAATTGACCAATTGTGAGTAGTAAGGAGATGAGTTAAGTGGTTGGGAAATGCCTTTATCAGTTTAGAAGTTACAAGTGTAACTGCTTGACAAATAAGTTGAAAACAACAGAAAGCCCAAGTATTGATAAAACATGTGATCCATAGGGGGTCACCACGTGACGACGTTAAACCAATCACAACATCACTGTTTCCCCAAGATTCGACAAAATATGTGAAACATTTTTGAGCAGATTACAAAACAGTGAGTTGAGGGTCAAATGATTATTCAATACAGTACAAATACTGTTATACCACTAAACGAAATGATTTGCATTGCATTTTATGTTAAAAATTATTAGTTTTCTGATCCAATTTATGAGTGGTTAAAACCTTAAAAAGTTTAATCCCGCCATATAATCATGTGTTTTCCAAACAGATACCAAGGGGACATTCAAAATTCCCGTTTAGTCAGGACACTTTGTAGAAATTATCTTATAGCATTTTCCCCTTTAATTTTTTTTGTGTTTTTTTTTGGGGGGGGGGGGTTTGGTTCTGATGGCATATCTTTTATCATTTGTGTTTGATTAGTTCCCATCATGTTAAAATTATGGACGATGTAGAGCTCGACATAGTGTACATGAATAGTGGACACCTGTATTTTGTTTAAGACTGTATGTTGATGCGACTGTCATACAAGTGAGAAGTTTATCTAGCTATAAAACCAGGTTCAATCCACCATTTTCTACATAAGAAAATGCCTGTACCAAGTCAGGAATATGACAGTTGTTATCCATTCGTTTAATGTGTTTGAGCTTTTGATTTTGCTATTTGATTAGGGACTTTCCTTTTTTAATTTTCCCCTGAGTTCAGTATTTTTGTGATTTTACTTTGCACTCTAGAACATTAATTTTTTTAATTTCATGGATTTCCCCAATTTTTTAATTGACTTTGGAGTTCGGTATTTATGTTTATACTTTTTCAATATAGTTTACGCTAATAAGAAAGTACAGTCATATACACAAGACGCATCATTCTGTCAAAGAGGGAAAGGGGGGTTCTCATTTATAATGACAGAAACCAAGCAGGATACAACAAAATTGACCTGCAAATGTTAACACAAAATATCGCTGAATTTGTATTGTTATGTCTCATTATGGTTTTACCCATATTTGTGTGTGGATGTCTGTCAACACACTTGAACCTTTCTTCTTTTAGGAACATTTCAATAATTTTCAATATGAAATTAAGTCGGACACAGGAACACAGTTATTGAACAGGGTAAGACAGAATATTAACAAAACAGTAACCGTTTTCGAACCATATACAGTCAAAAATGAACAAAAGACTTAAATTGCCGGTTTTCACATTCTGTTTCTTAAACACTGGAAGATTGTTTACATTGAATATAGGAATGTAAAATAATAAAATTTTGGGCAAATCTTTAAGGTACAATAATCAAAGTTGATCGACGTCATTGTTGAGTAACATTTCAGGAAAGTTTTAAGTACATTTTGTATCTTGAAACTGCAAAGGAAATAATTACACCAAATTTGTAGAACTTTATGGGAAATTTAGCTGAAACAAAAAAACTCATTTCCTAGGTGCACAACTTCAGTATGTATACATATGTTAAGGATATTTCGAGGAAATTTGTTGAAAAATGTACATTCATACCATTTTGTTGAGGAAATTATTTCCCAAGTCCAGGTAAAATCTTCAAATAGTTCCATTATACAAGTGTCATAACTTAAATACATGTGCAATTTTGATATAAAGTTTCAAGAATTTTGTCAAATTGAAACAGTTAATTTCACAAATATGGGGTCTTTTGCAAAATAATTAATTTAAAATTCTGGTAAATATTGGAAAACATTTATCAAACATTACCATAATAAGATGTTGATTATTTCAATCTGTGTTCAGTTTATCGGTGACGTTTTAGTGATTTAAATAAATCATTCGAATGTTACTGGGAAATTTAATGTAAAAGCTAGCTAAGTTACACATGATACGTGCGAAAAATTCAGTATATTATCAATACCAACAAACTGAATGAAAAACGCGTGAGCAATTAATACTGATAACAGTACTTGTAATGTTAATATGCTACCATAGTCACGGCTTTAGCCAAGGGCCGATATGGGTCGAGGGATGATACCAGGGCCAGTATGGAAAAGACATGTCATAATCTATTTATCACATATTTAAGTTCTGCAGAAAAGAGAAAAAAGTTCAATTATAACAATTTAATGAAATATAACAGGTAAAATCTTAAAAATTTTATCACAAAAGTTTTATCACATTTTCATATTTAGTTTTTATCATTTACTCCATAGAAATTTATTGTCACATATCCACTTATTTTGGAATATGGCAATACCCAATTGCGTAATTCTCCGGCACTTTTTAACCACTCCTTTAAATTTTTTTCCATTTGCTCTACAAAGTCTGCCGTATCGCTTTCCTCCACTGCGATGAAACGAGCACCGTCATTGTTCGCCATTGTCGTTAAGGACGCTATGACGTCACGTCATTTGGAATCAGGGCACAAAAAACAATAACCTCTTTTTTGCCAAGGGCAATTTTGAGTTTATTACATATGCAAAACCCAACGTATTCGTAACAAATATGTGATAAATCGTATTAGGTCACTACCACACTATGTAACTAATAATATTTGATTTTACTTTAAACAAATTGTTTACACTAGTTTTAACGATAACAAATCCTGCAAAGCCTATTTTATGTATCATTTTTACATTGATTGCATTATTCAGATTCAATCCAGCCTGGACACGTCTCTAAATGACTTGAATTTAGTTCTAGACAATGTAAATTCCAAGGTTTTATCTGTGTATTCAAGTACTCCGGATTCTCAATTAACAAATTTAGATAGATGCTGTGATCTTCAGGACACTGACGTAACGTACTTGCCGGAGTTCCAGTCAAAAGTAAGTAGGTTCGAAGGGTGTCAATATAAATTTAAATTTCTATTAAACATGCGGGGTTTCCCTTCTTCTATGCAGAACAAATCGTAATGCTTATTAATTTTGTTTGTCATAAGCAATAGGTATCATATTTTAGTTTGAATATTGGTCACGTTTTGGTTTAAATTACGTAGTGATAGTTTATCATTAAAAAAACGTTCACGACTAGATATAGTGTCTATTTCATTATCATTTTATCTTCACTTAGAACCCAGAATGTTGACTGAGATATAAAAAAAAAATGGTCATTCCTAGTTTTCTCCCAATTATTCAGTAACACCTGTGTTAAAGAGGGCCGAACACTGGGTTGTGCGGGATGTAAACGCAGCCATAACCGGCCGAATTGTCAAAGCTTAATCCGATACCTAGTGTCCTATCACATTTATCCTCACGTTTAAGAAACTTCTCACTAAAATCTATGACTAACGGGATGATTTCTACTTCCCAATTATCAATTTCCCATTTCTCAGCAGTAACATACCCTCTGCTCCGTCGTATCTCAATTGATACGTTATGCTTGTGCATGTTCACACTTTATGGACTTCATATTCAGAAGTGTGCTCCTTACACAGAAACTGCTCCAACAGAGTTATGAGGAGGAAAGATTAGATTGACACTCCGTAAATTTTATGGACACCATCACGAATTGGTTGATCTATACATTGTGTCTGTGTCTCAACTAGCTAACGAAATTTTTACCACGTCTTAGATTGTGGTTTGCCATCTACGACGTCTGTCTGCTAAGTACCGAACGTGACCTATTCCCGAATATGACTGTTTTGCCGAGTGTGAATTCGCATTTCTATACGATGTGTCTCGGTATTTATACATCCAACATTCATGTATTCAGTTATGATGTTTTTTCTGTAAGTTCGGTTAGATATTGTGTTATGTTTATCGCTTGTGGTTTGAATTCTGTATTTTTGGTACATTTCACATATGTCTTATTTGTCAGTATAGTCGAGTTACTTTCCATTTTCCATGGATAAAGTATTGTGTTAGTCCAAATAATTATGACGTCGTCACAGCATTATTTGATCTAGTATTGTGAAAATAATTGTGAATTTTTAATCTCGTTCCATATAATTGTATGAATTTCAAGATTATATATACGTCACAAAAATACGTCACTGTTTGTGGTGTCCTGTGCTGTCGTTAATGGGAAATGTCCGTTGTTATTCTGCGGTTTACATGTTGTACTGTACTATCATATCATTAATTTATGCATTTCTGAGTGTTCTTGCGTTTGTTTGTACTGTATTCCAGTCACGTAGTGTTGTCATTTTAGCGATATTTTTTAACATTGCCATATAAGCGGGAGGTTTGGCTAGCCATATAACCAGGTTCAACCCAACATTTTTTCTTAAATGTCCTGTACCAAGTCAGGAATATGGCAGTTGTTATCAAATAGTCCGTTTCTTTGTATGTTGGCGTTTGTTTTTGGTGCAGTGCAGTGTTTCTGTTGTTCCGTTGTTTTCCCCTTATAGCTGATGTGTTTCCCGCGGTTTTGATTTGTAACTCGGATTTGTTTTCTCTAAATCGATTTATGACTTTTGATCAGCGGTTTACTACTGTTGCCTTTATCTAAGAGCCATTGCAACAACTCTTTCTGGGGACCGTAAGTAAAATGTATTTTCCTATCCCACATGCCGTCAATTTCCATTCACAGTCAAAAATTGTGCTTTCATCAAGAGTTTACTTTTTTGATTGATTGTTAATTTGTTCTCGTCTTGAATATGCAAGAATAATTTTCCAGTGTACGTTAAACAAAAAGAAATGTGAGCTATTAAATGATTGGCTTGAACGCCATAAACTAGGTGAGCATAGACAACTATGCTAAATGATGAAAAACTAAATTGCACCAAGAAATAGAATAGCATGGAAACGGGAAAGCCTCAGCTGTTCCCTTAACAATGATACATACTAGTTCAGCGAAATGGACGCCACACTAAATTCCGAAACATACAAATGAACCAACATTAAAAATGTTTTAATATATCTTTTCAGGTCGATAGAAGTAAAGCATGTGTTACCACATCTCCCTTGGCTGCAAACAATTTGAAATACCCAACAGACCAAATCAGTGATATAATGAAAAATAACTATGAAAACAACAAGAATGTGTTATGGCAGCACTATAGCACAACAGACGGCGTGTCTGTTATTTACCCAGCTACGAAGTGGGATAACTGTCAGAACTTTGATCCAAGATTTAAGTGAGGATATTGCTTCATCTTTTGTTTGCTCAGTCCTTGTCTTGCTTGTTTTTGTTTTCGTTTGGTTTTTTTTAGTTCCAAGTTAAAAATGAGATAGATATCATTATAAGTTATCTACGTTCATATCCGTAGATATGGTTATTTTAACACCCTGAAGTATTCAAGTACACCCTGAGGCGCAGCCGAAGGGTGTACAGGGTACTGAAGGGTGTTAAAATATCAATATCTACGGACATGAACGTAGATAACAATTTATCCCCGGTCTTAGTCTCAATCTGGCGATTTTTAGAGAAATTCGACCAAAAAGTTTAACGTGAAAGCAACGTTTTTTTCATTTTTTGAATATCTTTTATTGAAATCTGGGAATTTGACATATTTTTAACGGGGTGTAGGGTACTACCTTTGTTAGAACCCTACAGGTAGACAAATATAAGACGTTTTTAAACTAGAGACAGAGAAACTGAAATGGGTCGAATTTGGCGCGCAATGTTGTGAGAGTTACATCATAAACGGTGTGACGTCAACGTGGGTCATTTGCATAGCTAGGAAAGTAGTACCATTCATTGACAATGTGTCTGCATAGTGATGTATTTACTAAAATGAGTGCAAATAATCGATATAATAAGATAAAATCGTTAGTGAATTACGTATTCAATTATACAGACATTATGGAAAATCTACAGAATTCGATATTTCATAAGTAACAACCATGGAACTAAGAAAGACGCGCGTGAAATTCCCCGATGTAATGGGTAGCAACGTCCGGGGATATGGGTTAGTAACACCCAGGGGCTATGGGTTTTGTAACGACGTGCGTTAACCAATCAAACTCCTAGAAATATACTAAGCCAGGGATAACATATCATATCATTGTTAACGCCAAGAAAAATGTTAGGATTTAAACAAACTGTTAAGAATATGCCAAATCTCCTTCTTTGTAAGATGCATACCCTATTAATTTTGCGTATCCTGTTGACCCGGCTGATCTCACTACATCTAGAGATCACGCAGTTCTGTTCATACATCCACTTCCATTTGTATTTGTTATATGCTTTTACGTTACTTTGCTGTTCTACAGTCAGATATTTAAATTTAAGAAAAAACAGACTGAAGTAAATACCGTATTAATGATGCCAATACGAGAAATAAAACAGAAAATTTCTTAAGATATCTACACTAAGTACAAGTTCAAACAGATTATTGGTAAAAAGCTAAACATTTGTTCAAAACCGTTTGAAATGTCAATGTATCATCAGTTTGTACTTTTATTAAAACTTTTCATTTCAAAAGGTTCATATTATTAAATTCATGAGCATACAGATACAGATATCTTTTGAAGACGAAACGTGCGTTTGATGTATACATTTTGAATTCTGGTATCATATGATATGATTTATTATCTTATGTCACGCTAGCATGTCCATATATGTGGTAAATTGATTTTGATTTAACAAATACATGAGGAATTAGTCATTCAAACTAAAACAGAATTCAATTTCTCTATCAAATGTATATAATTAATTGTAAATAATTATCCATTAAGTAATTTTTAAGTTCAAACGGTAATAACATAAAGGGAAGTATTAGGACAAAAATTTAGCATGTATTGTATTATCTTAAACTTCTTGTATAGTATCATTTATGTTTATTCGTGACTTTAACCGATTATATTCTTGGCATATTTTATAGATCCTATAAATTATTAAATACACCGTGTTGGCTTTTATCTAAATTGAGTTTATAATTGCGTTCTGATTGAAATATACTCAGTACCTGTTTAATTTTGTCCGTTGTGTATTAGTTTATTTCCGGGTTTTTGTACATTTTTTGTTGTTTTTTTCTTGTTTGTTTCTATACAGTATTTTTTTATTGTATGTTTATATTCGCCTACTTTTTATTGACTGTAATGTCGTTTTTCTTTGACAAACGATTTTTGATTGCAACCTCCGCTTCTTCTTTCTTTTTTCCACATCCATTTCCATTCGTATTTCTTTTTGTCTTCGTCAGATCTTCATACGCAGCAGCAGCTTCGCCAACTGATAAGGATGTTGTAATAGTGATTGATGCAAGTTCATCTATGAGACAGCCATCTGGAGTACCAGCCAAAACCAAGATTGTCATTGCCAAAGAAGCAGCAAACAATGTCTTACAAACGCTGAAACCGAATGATAGGGTATTTGGTATTTAGTAAACTCCCGTTATATTTGTTCAAGAATGAAAGGGGAGTGTGAAAGTTTTCAAATTTACCCAAGGTCAAATCGATCCAACCCTTAACTTAAACAAATGATTAAACATGTGAATGTTGAACCATTCAAATTAACCATTATCATTTAGATTTAGAAAATGTCTATTAGCATTACAGTGAATTATCGTCTTTTAGAAAAATTAATATATCCGATTTCTATATCTTATCGATCAACTTAACATCATTTGTAGATAGTACTGAAAACACAGAAATAACTGGGAATGGTAAAATATATTTTTTACAATTATCCTTTGAAAAATAAATTCTTAATTTACATTAATTTCTTCTTTATTTTGTGGTATATTGAAACAATATATGTATTTTGTTTTAATAATTCACTTTTGATTTATTTGATAGGTAGGGATTGTTCGATTTGATAAAAATGCATATACTCCAACAGGAGGTACCTATAGTTCCTGTTATGAAAACCACCTTGCATTTGCAACAAAAGAAAATACGGACAAATTAAAACAATATATGTTTTCAATAGAGCCAGGAGATGCTGAGCCTAACTTTGAAAATGCGTTATTATCTGCATTCAAATACTATAATTCCTCTGAAGAAGGTGTTCCACTGGAAAATAGAGGTAAAGTGTGTTTTTGTTTGTTTTTCTACATCATAGATACAAGGATTAAAAGTTGACGCGTTTCGTCTACAAAAGACTCATCAGTGACGCTCGAATCAAATAATTTTAAAAAGGCCAAATGAGGTTCGAAGTTGAAGTGAATTGAGGACCCAAAATTCCAAATGGTTTTGCCAAATAAAGCTAAGGTAATCTATTCTTGGGGTAGAAAATCCTTAGTATTTCGAAAAAAAATAAAAACAGTTGATTTATAAATATGACCATATCAATGATTATTCGTGTCAACACTTAAGGTCTGACTACTGATGAGTCTAATGTAGACGAAACGCGCGTCTGGCGTATCAAATTATAAGCTTGGTACCTTTGATAACTAACTACTGATTCAGATTCCAATTGCTTTGTATATCATATATACCGAGATGTAGAAAAACACCTTGATTTTAAATCTATTAGTTTAAGCTTGAATTGTTGCCATCTTCAAATATTTTGGTATTCAACAGTTAGAGAATATTTATAGGCATTATCTGTCAAATCGTGTTCACCAATTTGACTCAAATGTTCATATTTGATTTATTACGTACTCAAACGTATATCAAATAAAAAAAACTCAAAGAGAAACATTTAACCATGTAAGTACTAGTTATAATGCATCAACATTTCGTGCGTATTTTAGACTAGACGCCATCTTATTAACCATCAAGTGCAATCGTACAATGACGAATTTTCAAGGTCTGTTTGACATAGATTAAAGTGTATGTAAGGTATATGTAAATTATTGTTTTATTTGGATAACTATTATTTGTGTGTAGGTAGATTCAGTCAACAAAATTGTTCTTCGTTGTGACTTCCTTATCTTGCTTCACATTTTGATATTCACATTTCAATATTCACACATATTAATATTCACATTTAAATATTCACATTCTTTTCTTTTTATGATTAAACATGCTTATCGCAGACGTAACCAATCTTCAGATAAGGGTCAAACTAAAGGTCGAATGAATACGTATTCGAATGATATTGAATTATTCACTTGGAAGCGATGATACACTGTCGTTGGTTCGAGTTTTTTTGATAGAATTACACCAACTGGTTGCTAATAGCGAAATATTATTGCAATATTCCGCTTATCATTAGTCGAAATTTTTTTCTAAATCTTTTTTGCAAAAAAACAATCTATTCACGAGATTTGAATGTCCTTGTAATTTATGAATGTCTGAAAGAAATTATGTTTAGATTGTTTGTTTAAATCTTAAAATCAGTCGAATAATTTCTGGTATTTCTCCACATTGTATCTTATTTAGAGCTCTTAAACTCAAATAATACATATGAAACATCTAGAGGACAGTTTGCAATCTTAAAAAGATAAGGACAGACGTCTTAACTTTTGGCCCATCTCTTAACCGGACTATATATAGACAATTTGTGGATAAAAAAAAACTTAGGATTTGCTATCAAAGTCAATTTTTGAATGGACAAAAAAATTAAAGTGAAGTAGATATCTATACAGATAGCCACAAACGACTGTCCTGCATTTCGACAAGGCACATAACCCTTTTTCAATTTACTGTTTTTCAGAACAAGTCATTCTTTTCATCAGTGATGGTATCTCTTCATCAGGGAGTAACCCGGTTCAAGTTATCAGCGATGAGAATTCAAAATATGAGAACAAAATTGCAATATTTACTTACTTGCTGGGACAAGGTAATATTTGTTGCTGTGGCATATAATTATTTGCTTTATATACTTACTTGGAAGCGAATTTATCAATTACAGGGATGTAAAAAATACAAGTGCATGAATATTGTTTTAAATAAATTATATTTTACTTGCTTCGGCTAGCACCTGACCAAATACGCTTAACCTTAAGTTCTGAAACATGTGTAAACCAATAAAAAATATTGTAAATGTGTTATAAAACAAAAAAAAACATTTTGTTTATCAACCATATTAGAATGTAACTTGGCATGTTTGAAGCCAACAGAATATAAGCATAGGAAGATTTGGCATGGTTGTCAATGAGATAACTCTTCATCAGAGACCAAATGACGCAAACGTCAAAAACTATAGTTCACCGTACGATCTTCAACAATGAGCAAAACCAATACCGCAAAGTAAGCTATTGAAGGCCCCGAAAGGACAAATAAAGAACAATTCAAACGAAAAAATTAACAGCCACTTAATGTACAAAACAATTAAAGATACAGCAACAAACGACATCCACTGAAATACAATCTCCGGACAGAAATATACAGAATGTGGCGGGATTAAAGATGTTTGCTGCCGCCGAACCCTACCCCTAACCTAACAAAGTTGTGAAACATAAGAACGCAGCATAACAATCAATGAAAAAGAGCTTAAGTTATCGATACAAAGCGTAAACAAAACTGACAAAAACAAAAGAGACACAAATAACAGATCTGATAGTACTCGCAGTTACTGAAAGCTAGTTAAAAAAAGCTAACAACAAAATTATGTATCTAAGACTAAAATATCAATCAGTACACATCTATTATCCAATGGATTTTGTATAAATGTAGTTTAATTTATTTAACATCTTCATGCAAGAAACACTTAGTGATTTCCACAATTCAATTTTTTTTTTTTAATTTATAAGTGAAGGAAAAACATTTCTCAAAGGGTTGTCTGTGGCATAGAAATATGGTCATAAGTGGATGTCTACCGTCTGTTAGTTTAACCTTTGGTGAAGTGGGACATCCACTTGCCTGTTTTCGATGTACAAATGTGCAGTTACATCTGGCCAGAATGAAGACGTTAAAATTAATGCCTCTTGTGGGATGGGTACCATGGTCTCTGCTCAATAAAGAACCTTTCCAAGAATTATCTGATAACTTCTTAGGTGATCTGTTATAATGCCAAATTTTCTACCACTATCCACTATCCGAACTTATCAGTGGAAGTCCAAATTCCCTGTCTTTCAACTCGGTTAACTTAAATGACAGAACCTAAATTTTGTGTAAACTCTCAATTTGTTTTAGTCCTGAATATGCATGACATATTTGCACATGGATGTGAAATAACCAAGCCAGGATCAATTACTCATTCCTATTTATTTATCTAAGTTTTAATTCGGTTTACTTGACACAAGGCCATACGTATATACTTCTTTTATCGTTCAACTTTTTTCTCATTGAGGCATAGAAAAAGAGAATCTTTCAATCATTTTGATCATCCTTCTTTGTCTGAAGCAATTAAAGTGAAAAATGCTCTTTGGTCGGGTTGTTGTCTCTGACATATTCCCCATTTTCATTCTCAATTTCATTTATAATCAAATATTAACATGCAAATGTTTGAATGACTAAATCTTTGATATTTTAATAACGTTGATTTGTTGTTTCCTAAAAATCAATTGAAACAAAACAAAATCAAATCATGCAATACTGATGATTAAACTGCTAAATAGTAAAATTGCTTCCATACAGAGCAAAATGCAAAGACACAGTTACAAAGTATGGCAAATCAAGATCTACACAATGTTTCTTTTGGACCTAAACAAGTAGGTATATGTATATATATGTTTGAAATAGCACACCTTTCTGAACAGTGCTGAGACTGTCAATTTTCTACGTTTTACCATTATTTAAATCAACAGTGTAGTTGATCAAACGATTTAATGTCGTATATCATTGTACAATTTAAGAGGATTCAGTGCATATGGAAAGAACAAAATATGTTGACGTCAATATTAATTTAGATGGGAAATTATAGCTAGATAAAGTATACAATCGATGGCAGATGTTGATGACATGAAATAGTTTAAATGTGAAGCCGTTCGTTTTGTTAATTTAGAAAATTGAAAATCCAACGTTGACTTCATTTGTTTACCTTATCATTTAAATCATTTGTATTTTCAGATTGGAAACTTCGAATATTTTGACCAAGGCAACCAGAAATTTCTTCCAACTAAATTGGCTACATTTTATGTACATCTATCAACAGGCAGTCAATCAGGGCAATCAACATTCACTGTACCATATGTGGATCCCTTCTCGGAAGTTGGTACGTATAATGACATAAGAATGGAGTCGTATGAAAATTACACTACACTATATATTTATGGGGTTGGCACATTTTAATAAAACAAAACAATATCATTTGTTTTCATGATATGGTAGACAAATCGTAGTATAAGAGGGGCGAACAATACCAAAGGGATATTCAAACTCATAAGTCGAAAACTAACTAACAATGCCATGGTACAGAATGAGAAACCATCAAAAGACAAACAATATACACACCACAACATAGAAAACTAAATACTTAGCAATACGAACCATTTCAAAAACCGGTTGAAATATCAGTTTCTTTTCGTAACTTGTTTTGATAATAATTTTTTTGCATTTGTTTTTTTAGTAATTTGTATTCCTGTTTTAGTGTGAAAATGATATTTCTTCAATGACTTAAAAACATAATAGGCATTTTTTTTTTTACTCAACGGATTCAACCTGACTGTATTTGACCTTTTAACTGGGAAACACGACCTTCCTGTTTTCTGACATTTTCTGAAATCAGCATTGAAGAAAAACGGTATATTGTTCAAGTAGTATTCAACTCTGAAGATTTTAATTTTTTTAAGTTTAGATTTGTGTTCAAAGCTTCTGATAGTATCAATGTTTAGCTTTTCCATAGTTTTGAATTGCACGCAGAGGTTTGACAGGTCACCTCTTCAATCAATTTTGACGGTAAAGATGCTAGCATTATGATATATTGACAGCATAATTTTTATCTGAGTGTATATTTCTTTTTTTTGAGACTCATTACCATATTTACGTAGTAAAATCTGATTCATATTAAACCGTGAATGTACAATTTCAGAAGTGGTGTTATATAATAGGAATGTCCCTGATTTCGATATTCTGATTTGTCAAGATGTAATCATTTCTGATGACCTTAAGACTGCATAAGGTATAATGTAAGACCGGAACTTGTATGTAGGGAGGGGTTCTTTGTGTCTTCTCTTTAAAAGGGAGGCGAAGATACCAATAGGACATTCAAACTCACAAATAGAAAATAAGCTGACAACGCCGTGGCTAAAAAAGAAATAGACAAACAGACCAACAAAAGTACACAAAAAACAGCATAGAAAAAGTAATTTATTTAACATCTTCATGCAAGAAACACTTAGTGTGAGAAACACGAACCCCACCAAAAATTGGAGTTGATCTCAAATCTTTCATTAAATCAAACTCTTAAAAAAAGATGATGTCCCCCTAACGTTGAATTTGTGTCTGTATGAATACAAAAAATACAATACTGTAAACCAACTAATTTTCGCGACGTTCGCGAGTCGAAAAATAAAGCGAATATAAATTGTCGCGAATATGTTAAACTTGAATCCTTCCTAATTTAACTACGTCAAATAAATTTGAAATCGCGAAGTTGAATTGCCGCGAAGTTGACTAGAAAGAGGTAAACGCGAAATAAAGTATCCGCGAAAACAAGTTGGTTTACAGTATATGATATGATTTACGTTTTTTAGGGTTGATTACATCATTATGTCGCCGTGTTCATGTGTCGACTGGTTTTCATGGAGTTATGTGCACAGACGTGAAAATAAGTAAACTCTTAACTGAAATTGAGTACTTCTCTGAGGACGAATTTACCTATGCGTTTATGATAGATGGTACAGGGAGAGCACTTATGCATCCTTTGTTACCAAATGCAGCATTTGTAAATCAACACAAGACCCTGTTTTAGTCGATATTGGTGTATTCGAACGAGAAGATAATGCCAAATCAGTCATTGAATCAATGAAAAGGTAGACACTGTTGTTTAGTTATCTTTTTTATCGCATTGTTTGAGTTCAATAAATGTGAAATTATTGGTTTTCATAAGTAGATTGGGATATAGAAAAATGTTCATCTGGACTTCTTGAACAGTGAAGTCAAGACAAATATGTGCACAACTTTATACTATCAACTTGTTTTCAAGTTATATTTCAAATTAATTGCCCATTATCTTTGTTGACTTACTTAGTATTCTGCAATATCTATTCATTTCATTTATTATTAATTCAATTTCGTCCAAAATTTGCATGAAAGATTTGTCACAGGACGTTAAACCAACACCAATCAATTAATAGTGCAATTCTGAAAACAAAACATTCACTTGAAAAATTGTTTCCCTTGTCACAAATATAATTTGTTGATGTGATAAATATAAGAAAATACTGCCATTCCATTTTAAGGGGGAAATTTAACGTTTTCTTTTGAAGAAAAAGATCCGGTTTTTTTTTGGGGGGGGGGGGGGAGACCAAAACTTACAAAAAAACTGACGTTAGTACATTTGTTCATTTCAATTTTTCCATGAGTAGACTTTTTACGCTAACACATATCTTGATTTCACAAGATGTATACATGTAAATATCCATTTTAAGTACGTCAAGCAAATTTCAAAGACACTGGTGTATCATGTTAGGAATATATTGGTTTGTTCAATTGTATATACGATGATTTCCCCGGTTAATATTTGCTCGAAAAGACTCATCGGAGATACCAGGCCTATACTTTGGTACGCCAGATGCGCAAAACGGGAACATTAGTATGATAGAGGCAAATGATTTTGAACCCATCACAAACATTGAATTTAAAATTTATCAAACCACATTATATTTGCAAATTTATATATATAGTAATAAAGAAACAAATGTTTTTACAGAAGATTTCTTTATTTTAGCGGAGGCACTGGTTCCACATCTTTTACGAAGTTCTTCACCAAACCACGTGGTAAACTAGTTAATGATGGTAGTAGTGATATCAGTCGCCAGGCACATTTCTTTTGGGGTTCGGTACGGTTTATTAACATTTTAGCTACAGAAGTAATTCCCCAAACGTATTAAATTAAGAAATAATATTCTCAGTTGTACCAGTAACTGAAATAATCTGCATTATTTTTAACCATAGTTTATCATTATACCTAACCCTGCCGCATTTTATTAACATTCACAGTACCAATTGTACTACACATGATGAGCCTTCATACGAAGTATATATCTCCCAATTGATATGATATTCCCGGGCTTGTATTTCCTATCATGATTTCCTTGATAGAGGGTTGCTGCTCACAAGGAAGCTATTAAACCAAGAGTTCCAAATGGTGAAGTTGAAATCATCCCTTCGCAAATTTTACGGACGCCATCACGAGTTGGTTGACCGTTATGGAATAACCGTTTCACAGATGATATCTGATATGTTCCTTATGTCGTAATTACAATCCACTTCCCTTTTCACCACGAATGTGACTTACCGAATTAGACTATTTACCGGATTTGTAATAACATGAGCAACACGACGGGTGCCACATGTGGAGCAGGATCTCCTTACCCTTCCGGAGCACCTGAGATCACCCCCAGTTTTTGGTGGGGTTCGTGTTGCTCAGTTTTTAGTTTTCTATGTTGTGTCTTTCGTACTATTATTTGTCTGTTTGTCTTTTTATGTTTTAGCCATGGCGTTGTCAGTTTATTTTCGATCTATGAGTTTGACTGTCCCTCTGGTATCTTTCGCTCCTCTTTCTTTCCGAAAACAGAGGCCAAATATTAGAAAAACTCAAAACTAAAATCAAACGCTGAAGAGCTTTACAATAGAAATAGACGAAAGGGTAGAGTCTAACTCGGACACAATAAAGCAACAAACAACAAAACGTCATTTAATGGTCAATATAAGGTCATGATGGTAAACACTTGGTCAATTGGTAGCATTATAAAGACAGTTTAGGTGGATATTTTAATTGTCATGATCCGGTGGTGAGTGGTGATTCACTAGTTCTTCTTGAAGTTTGACCAGTATTAGTCAATATACGAATCATGCAAAATGTGAAAAAGGTATAACAAAAATCTTGAACTCAAAGGTAAATTCAAAAAGGTGAATTTCATAAAAACTGACAAAATAAAACTTTATCAACCAACGGAACCAGTGGAAAACAGCTGTGATATTGCTGACTTGGTACAGGCATCTTCCGAAGAAAATGGTGAGATAAACCTGGTTTTATAGCTAGTTCAACCTCTCACTTCTATGACAGTTTTTTTGAAGTTCTGATATATTGACAAAATTAGATCCATGGATGAAAAACCTACGACTAGAAGAAAAATAATATCTTATTTAGAAGAAATTATGTTTAAATTCATACAGAGTTTTTTTTTAACAGGCCTTACCAGGTGATATATAATTATTGAGGGAGATAACTCGTACATATACTATAGAATATGTATAAAAATGTATGCCAATTATCTGTCCTGGTAAGGCAATAAATGGACAATATATCACATTTCTTTCATCTACACCCATGTTCCTACTGATTGAAAAAAATAAACATGTTTAGCCTTCCGTGAAGTGTGTCACAATATTTGGATTTTGCATGATTCATATATGGACAACTACATAAGCAAGCATTAATTTCTATCCATTGTTAACGTTAATCCGATTGTAATTTTATGCCGTGACCCTTATTCTGACAAATAGTGTGTATATGTTGATTTAGTAACTAAAGATACGTCATCATTGTATGAAAAATGTATAACCTTACTTACACTAATGTACATATGTTGTGAATTGCAGATACCTAGGAGTAACTTTTCTGTGTGTGTTGTTTTTGTGAACGAATCGTATGCCGAAATTTCGGAATCCCAGTTTCAACTGAGTGACACAGATATAGACAAGGTTTTTATGTACCATAATCGAAGTTTGCTTACTGATCCCTTTACTGATTGTAAATTCTACAAGAGGCGTGTAACATTAGGTAGGTGGAATCAAATATATAAACCAGAAAGTCTTAAACTTGCAGTGCGGTGAGAGTTTTTTTTTTTTTTTTTCTGTTTTTTTGCTTCGTGTTGAAGGCCTTGTTGTGACTTTGTGATGAAGAACAGCAATAAAAGCGCTGTTCCCTTTGTTTTTTTTTTGTGTGTGTTTTTTTTTTGGGGGGGGGGGTGCATTTACTGATTTTGTGTCTTGGATGGATACTCCATATCCTTTGTTTTTCTATTGTTACAAAGACAAAAGGTACAGGAAAAAACCGGATACAGGAATACTAGTATGTACATTGAACACATTGTCACATTATATACATCAGATATTATTTTCGGCAAATTGTAAACTTTTCGTAAAACCTTTTATCAACATTTTGAATGTAGATCACGTAACCAAATCTCCCATGAAAGATTAAGTGAACCATTTTAAAATATTTTAAATAGTTAAGAAAGAAAAAAATATAAGGTCGACTCAGCTTGGTGCGTTATATTTGATTGATTAATATGTTTTTCTATGATAATGATTTTAGTCTACTACGGAAGAGTCTATTTCATTTACTAGCACCGGCTCGATTCCACTGCTGCTAGACTGGTTGGTTTGTGACCCGGATTTGTTTCAGCTAAATCGATTTATGACTATTGAACAGCGGTATACTACTGTTGCCTTTATTAGTCCGAGAAGGTATAAGCAGCTCAGTAGTCAGTGATTTGGTTCTTTCTGGTCATACAATTCCTAACGTTGTAGCATATTTACGCATCCTTGGATTTCAAACGTTAAGGTTTGAGCATTTCTAATGAAGGTAAATCCAGAAAAGAGCTTGGATGCACGATATTTATAAAGTGCTAGTTGCATTTTACTGATTTGTTCATATTCAAGATTGCTACAGTCCATCTGCCATTATCATCATAAAAAAATATTGGTACAAATCCTATGTAGATGCTTGTGAGGTTTTTTTTGTGTTTAAAGTCTTTCAAATCTTTACATGAGATTGAAATGATTATGACATTCAGTTTTAGTAATTTATTATGTTTCCGGATGTATTTCCTCTTTTTTTCCTTTGATGTTCAATTTCATGTATTTACGAGATTTGAACGATAACCGTTTTTTAATTTTCTTTTCAGACCGTAGTTGTGTAAAGTTTTCACAAGCTGCCTTTGAAAACCCTTTTCAATATTTAGACCGTGATGAGACTGCGGCAGATGTCAGTAAATACAAAGATTTTCTAACAAAAAAGATCGTCACTAATCCTGGATTTAAGGTAAATTGATTTTCAACTTTTATTTAAACAATTTAAAGAATTGTAGGTAATTATTACAATTGAATACTAGTAAAATAGTTAAATTTTTTTTGTTATACCATGGCATAAAATTTATAGTTTGATTTTAGACCGAATAAGTGCTAAGTTTGAAAGGTATACAAAGATATATTTCATACATATTTACTCTTTCATACATATCATATTAATTCATCACTAGTCTTCAATCATTACCTTTTGCGTTTTCTGGGTCTTAAATAACTGATCTAAGACACCAGACTGATAATTTAACACGTCAGACGCGCAGTGCAAAAGGTCAAATCAGTTACAACGTTGGAGAGCACTATAAATTGAAAAAATTGAAAAAGTTGTGATAAGTCTTTATATGTATGTAGTGTAAAAAACCTTAGTGTTTCGAATAATTTTAAAGTTTTATGAACATTTAAAGAACATAAAAACCAATTGTTCCAATGAATTTTATATACCGACTACTTAGTCCACCTCGAGTAGAGGAACAAAAACTATAACAGATACTAGGTTCATAATTTAGAACGCCAGACAAGCGTTTTGTATGATTTCATGCCTATAATTGTGTGCCGTTTTGCTCATGTAAGTGACGTAGGTATATACTATTCATCAGTTGAACGGAGACACTTATATACACTATATCATATACAGGTAAACAATGTACAGGCGAAAAGAATCATCTGCAGAATCATTTTTTATCATATCTCGATAATGTATATATTGAATTTAATTATATATCGTAAAGAAAATGCATAATGCAGAGGTTAATAAAACATACGAATGGACTAAAATTTATTAACGGAATTTGCTTGATATCCGTTGATACCAAAATCCTAAAAGTATTTTTTACAAGGAAAATTCAATTCATAAAAAAGCACGTGTCAACTAGCAAATCAATGACTAATACAAAACAAAATAAAAGACATGCTTACATTTCGACTATAGGAAAAAAAAGAATAACAAATATACCGAAGTAAAAAACACTGACAAAATCAGACGTTATCAACTAACGGAACAAGTGGAAAACAACTGTAATATTCCTGACAAAGAAAATGGTGGATAAAACCTGGTTTAAACTATGCAACAATGATTGATCAGTACCGCACTCAACATGGAAGGATGACATTTCATAGCTTGGTCCCTATATTCTGTTGATTCCTTACATGGGTTCGTTAAACATTGAATTGAACAAAAACAAGTATTTGGTATTTGTTAAAAATGTCTTAATGTAATTAATCACGTATTTCTTTATTTGAATAACCGTGTTACTGATTAATTGCCAATCTGTCTCAACATTTGCTGATCTAAGCAAAGAATTAGACTGACTGTGTACTGCTATTTTATAATCCAAGATGGCGGTATACAGTATATCGACCTTAATCTTTACAATATATAAGTAGAAACATCTAAAAATTATACTTTAATTAATTTGTATTTTTAAACATTCACGTAAAGTCAACACTTCGGCCATCTGTTTGGGCTACGTATAAAGCTGAACAATTTTGGAAGAGTCATAAGGCGAGGTACGTGGCATGGCGATACATTGCAACAAAGGCAGGGCTGATCAGGATTTATCCTGGAGTTAATCTACTAAAATCATATGACCACGAAAAGCGAGGCTGGTAAGCATTACGTTAAAGGAAAATAATAACAGCTAAATATACTGTCGAAAATATATTTTTATTGAACTTTTCAAGTTTTACTGAACTGCAAAATCAGCGTTTTAAAACAAGAAATAAGATCATTTAAAACTTTTCAAAATAGTTATTTATTATATTCTCCTTTTCAATACAATCTTTAACACCACTATAACGTTTAGTGAATGTACTTTTAAATTCAGTCTGTTATACTACTTAAAATAAGAATAGTAAAAAGAAACTGGACATGTAAATATAAAATGAAATTCATTTAAAACATGTTTCTGATATGATGACTTATCATTGAGTACATATACAGTCGATGCACATTTCTATAGCTAAATTAAAATTGCTCTTAATTTATGACTTCAATTTATGCCATGACGAAAAAACGATGTTAAACAATTAATTTTACAGGTGGCGACAGGCGATGGCACACCCAGACTCCATGTTCGTAACCACACCTTATGTTGATGCCTGGGGATCAGGAATAGTTCTAACATTTGTACATACGATACATAAAAAAGGGTGATTATTATCTCAAATGAAATAGTCAAATGTTTTTGAATAGAACACTATAATGTGCAAAGGATAGTAAATCCAAAAAAAAAAAAAAAAGAATTTTTAACTAACACCAAAATTAAAGCAAGTTGCATCAGAACGAGGATGTTCTTAGATTTTATATCAAAATAAGGAAATACGATCTTCATATTCATAACATGATATAAGAACTTTTAAAAGGATAAGAAAGCAGTGTTTTAATGTGTGTAGTTGTGTAAACCATTCTCTTTCTTAACCTAACTTTTAAAATTTTTCTTGTTGTACTCTCAGGCTTGGCCCACATAAATCAAATGATGATGAAACAAATGTTAAATTGATCGGGTGGCAACTTTTCCAAAGCAATGCATTGAAGACTTTTTATGTCGCCCAAGGTAGGAGCCAATTTGTCAATCAAAGAAAAAGATTAAATGATTTTGTTTGTTTTCTTGCATTGCTGAAAGCATTCCATTAAATTATTTTACTTTTCTTTTTTTAGGCCAAATGCTCCTTTCATTCTTTCAATTATCAGACCTAACTCTTTATTTAGATATTTTCTTTTGGATCGCATACTATAAATCAATATTTTCAATGGTTGCATATAATCGGGATCATTTCCTATTTGAAAAACTACAAACACCAAGTTAAGAATGAGACATCCATTTTGCAACTTTACGATTAAGAAATGTCTGCTTGATCTGTAATACTCCTGTTATTTTCTCTGTCTTTAGACAGGAATGGTAATTATGAATTACATGAATTGATAAAGTAGAGGAAATCTTAATCTTATTAATTTATTGATTGCTTGAGCTTTTTTTCAGTTCGAATATAGTAACTGCTGCATCAGCTGCCGATTTTCCATTGGAATATTTTAATTGGTTCATAACTAGTGTGTATCCATCCTGTGGCGATAACAGGTTAGCAAAATTTTCAATTGGAATATTTTAATTGGTTCATTACCAGTGTGTATCCATCCTGTGGCGATAACAGGTAGGCAAGATTTTCCATTGGAAAATTTTAATTGGTTCATAACTAGTGTGTATCCATCCTGTGGCGATAACAGGTTAGCAAAATTTTCCATTGGAATATATTAATTGGTTCATAACCTGTGTGTATCCATCTTGAGGCGATAACAGTTAAGCAACATCAGACAGATTTCACTCATTTGTTTGGTATTTTTATACTATTTTATAGTTCATCCTTGATTCGAGTGGCACTGGTTAGTTAGATGAAGGCGAAAAGAACCTTTAGTTTACAAAATTATGTGCCTGGTATCATCGATAAGCTTTTTACATTTCCCAACTCATTCGGTATTCAAAAGCTTGCAGCTGCTACTCAGACTTTATCAAACGTCACCAGTGTCTGAATAGAAAGTTGATGAACCAGGGTTATGTTCCGTTGTTTTCCTCCTATAGTTGATGTGTTTCCCTTAGTTTTGGTTTATGACCTGGATTTGTTTTCGCTTAATCGATTTATGACTATTGAACAGCGGTATACTACTGTTGCCTTTATTTATGTCAAAGAACGTCTCGTTCTTTTTCCATAAAAAAACTTCCTCGAAAAATACCATGTTGATAAATATTCTGTATCAAACTCACAAATAATACATGATGGTCTTGAAGTATAGATTCTAGGTACTGACGTTGTTTATTATCTTAATTACGTGTTATAGTGTTCTTTTATTTGAATTTTCCTTTTCGGTACTTTTTACTTCGTTTGTACTATAAAAAAGAGATGTAGTGTAACTGACACCTAGTAAGCGCACAGTCATCAACAATAGATAGGTATATATACAATGTACAATTAGAATTGTACAACCGTTTCTATGATGTTCAGTTTTGACTGTTTTATTGTATAAATTTCAAGATTTTTATAGTTTTATTATCAGACTAGATTGACATGATGGATTTTACATCGTGATCATACCGATAAAGGATATCTGTTATCCGAAATATTTAACATTTGTTCATTTTATTATTATTTTTTGGTGATGTTGTACCCTCTTAGACTTGTTATATATTAAATTTTGTAGTGTACTGTATCATACGTATATGATCCATCGCCCCGTAAGATTTATCGTTCGCTATTATTCAGTCATTTACAATGTACAATATACATTTAGCCCATTAAAAATGGATCTTCCAATAACACGCAGTTCTTCAAATAAACAAAATTTGTGTTTCTAATACTTACTCTTACGGTTTTTTTCTCTGAGAAAATATGAAAGAGCAATAAACTTTTTTTTTCTTTTTCTTAGTGGCTACAGTTGCATTATAATAGATGACAGTGGATTTGTTGTAATGCACCCAAGACTCAAAGAGACAACCGACGAAAATGCATTTAAGGAACCTAAACATATCACTGTAGAGGTTTGCTGACAATACCATTTGATAAATATGTTTTTCGTTACAATATTTTAGATTCCTTCCCACTTACGACATTTTAACTCTGTCGTACTTCCCATATGTTCGTCAATTGTTACCAAATTTTGTTATGCGACTGCTTATTAACATTTGTTGTTCGCTCAGAATGGATGATGAATGCTGCAGGAGATGATCATCCTGCTGACACACCTGATCTCACTTAATCTGATATTTATGCTTTCCTTATGTTTTTGTATTGTTTATACCCGAACTTACGGTTTATATACTGAACATCGGTATACTGCCGTCGTTAAAATTGCAATAAATGAACCACGAAACCTGCAGTAGGAACGTCGTTAAGTTGCGCTAATTGAATCACGAAACCTGCAGTAGGAACGTCGTTAAATTGCACTAATTGAATCACGAAACCTGCAGTAGGAACGTCGCTAAATTGAACTTTTTGAATCACGAAACCTGCAGTAGGAACGTCGTTAAATTGGACTAATTGAATCACGAAACCTGCAGCAGGAACGTCGTTAAATTGCATTAATTGAATCACGAAACCTGCAGTAGGAACACAATACTCACTATATTGTTTCAATGAACAATTATGTACACAACATCTGCAACTTTGAAATACAAAGCAATCAAATTATGTTTTTGAAACTTCCAATTTTTGGAATTGCTTATAGTCATTTCTTTACTTCAGAACAGGTAATGATAGATACAGATATCAAACATGAATGATTAATAGATGCAAGGAAGACACCATAAATTGCTGTAGAAAGCCATTTAAAATCGACATACGCATTACTTTAGTCCACTTACTGAATATCTTATAATTGCAGGAACCTCGTATTGCAAAAATATTGCGAAGTCAAGGCGTGTTAATTCCAAAATCCTGTCAAGATTATTCTACGAATAAAGAACTTTCGTCCTATAGGGTTAGTTTATTATATTTGGAAACAAAAGTGCTAGAAAGTAGGTAAAATAATGCGTACAACATTTATAAGACGATTCAAGGGTAAAAGTTGTCCATTTAATATATCTGATAAACCATTTAGTTACAATTATGAAGCAATATATTTAGCACTATTGACAACACAAACATTAACATTCTTATAAGAGTGACCTTTCTGAAATTTGAATGGTTTTTATTTATATACTCTTATGATGAAAATGCATATAAATGTCATTAAATTTAATTTTTCTACACGTCATGATAGAACACATACTTCAGAGTTCCTTTATATTATATAAAGTGGTTTACTTGAATATTTTACATATAGTCCATTTCTACGTAAGATAACTGAAACACATTGTTGCATGAATATCTAGCATTTATTATTGTAAAAACTAATTTGAAAGAGTTAATTTTATTTATTAAAAGTGACTTTACCAACAATAATGTCTAGTGGACAAGACTTTGCAAAAGATAAAACTAATTTATTATTGTAAAAACTAATTTGAAAGAGTTAATATTATTCATTAAACGTGACGTTACCAACAATAATGTCTAGTGGACTATCCTTTGCCAGCACCGATAAAACTCATTTCATAGACTTAATTTTATTTATTAAATGTGACGTTACCAACAATATAGTCTAACGGACTAGACTATGCCAACATAGATGAAACTCATTTAATAGAGTTAATTTTATTTATTAAATGTGACGTTACCAACAATATAGTCTAACGGACTAGACTATGCCAACATAGATGAAACTCATTTTATAGAGTTAATTTTATTTATTAAAGGTGACGGTACCAACAAAACATCTAGTGGACTATACTTTGCCAACACCGATAAAACTGATTTAGTAGAGTTAATTTTATTTATTAAAGGTGACGTTACCAACAATAACGTCTAGTGGACTATACTTTGCCAACACCGATAAAACTCATTTTATAGAGTTAATTTTATTTATTAAAGGTGACGTTACCAACAATAACGTCTAGTGGACTATCCTTTGCCAACACCGATAAAACTCATTTCATAGAGTTAATTTTATTTATTAAAGGTGACGTTACCAACAATAACGTCTAGTGGACTATCCTTTGCCAACACCGATATAACCCATTTTATAGAGTTAATTTTATTCATTTAAGGTGACGTTACCAACAATAACGTCTAGTGGACTATCCTTTGCCAACACCGATAAAACTCATTTCATAGAGTTAATTTTATTCATTAAAGGTGACGGTACCACGATAATGTCTAGTGGACTATACTTTGCCAACACCGATAAAACTCATTTTATAGAGTTAATTTTATTTATTAAAGGTGACGTTACCAACAATAACGTCTAGTGGACTATCCTTTGCCAACACCGATAAAACTCATTTCATAGAGTTACTTTTATTCATTAAAGGTGACGGTACCACGATAATGTCTAGTGGACTATACTTTGCCAACACCGATAAAACTCATTTTATGGAGTTAATTTTATTTATTAAAGGTGACGTTACCAACAATAACGTCTAGTGGACTATCCTTTGCCAACACCGATAAAACTCATTTCATAGAGTTACTTTTATTTATTAAAGGTGACGTTACCAACAATAACGTCTAGAGGACTATCCTTTGCCAACACCGATAAAACTCATTTTATAGAGTTAATTTTATTCATTAAAGGTGACGTTACCAACAATAACGTCTAGTAGACTATCCTTTGCCAACACCGATAAAACTTATTTCATAGAGTTAATTTTATTCATTAAAGGTGACGGTACCACGATAATGTCTAGTGGACTATACTTTGCCAACACCGATAAAACTCATTTTATAGAGTTAATTTTATTCATTAAAGGTGACGGTACCACGATAATGTCTAGTGGACTATACTTTGCCAACACAGATAAAACTCATTTCATAGAGTTAGTTTTATTTATTAAAGGTGACGTTACAAACAATAGCGTCTAGTGGACTATACTTTTCCAACACAGATAAAACTGATTTAGTAGAGTTAATCTTATCTCTTAAATGTGACGTTACCAACAATATAGTCTAACGGACTAGACTATGCCAACATAGATGAAACTCATTTAATAGAGTACAGTTTATTTAATAAAGGTGGCTTTACCAGCTATAACGTCTAGCGGAATAGACTTTGCCAACACAGATAAAACTAATTAGGTAAAGTTATTTGTAATTATTAAAGGTGAAACTACCAACAATAACGTCTAACGGACTAGACGTTGCCAACACAGTTAAAACTTATTCAACTAGTTAATTTCATTTATTAAAGGTGACGTTACCAACAATAATGTCGAGTGGACTAGATTTTGCCAATACAGATGACACGTTTGAGTTGCGACCTATAACAGAAACTAATCTGTTTATTATCAGAAGCCAGTCCCAGTCAAATCAACCGCTAACATGTACTTGTGTAAGTTTGCACTAGTTAAGACTTGTTTTTGATATTTCATAGAATACCACTTTACCATTGCTATGACGTCATCAAGTTCGTTTACCGTGCTTAATTTTTCAACACTTTCCAAATGTCGCTGAAATAGAATCACCAAATTATATCAAATTTTTCGCTGTGTTTGCTAACACTTCATTAGCTTAATTGACTTACATCCTCGATGTTATGACCAGCCCGGAAATCACCAATTTTGTGTTGACATGAAATATCATTGATACGGTCTCTTTCTTTTTTTTATGTATACCAATATGATCATGATGATTAGTGTGCACTTTATAAAGACTCCTTTGTTGTTTTAGGTGGAACAGTGGCTTATATGTCATACATAATATTTCATACATTTACAGGAGTTATTGCCCTTTATTGACAATTTTCCCCAATATTTTTCATATTTGCCAATTATTTTGAAATACAAAATAGATAATAGATAGAGAGAAACTTTGAATACAGTAAATAATCAACATGACATAGTTACAAATGAGTCAACATGGTTGAAATTGCATGCATACTAATTAAACGAGGTATTGCCTTTAATTGACGATATTTATCAAAACTACATTAGAAAGACAGAAACTTTAAAAAGAAAAAATAATCAGTAATAAGTTCCATGTCCAAAATCTTAGATCAACTCCTTATTGACCTTAAATGAGGATTGTTTCCATTTGTTTGAGTTTTTGATTTTTATCTTGAAAATTATAATAGATAAATAAAAACCTTCAGATGCTTAAATGATCAACAAGATCTTCAAATAAGTCAACGTTGCAAAAATCGTTGGATGTTTCTTAATATGAGTTATTTCCCCTAAATTACGATTATTACCATCATTGCGTTATCTTGAAAACCATTGTAGACAAAGAGACACTAACACGGAAAAACAAGACAAGATCTTAAAGTCTGTGTAGATGTTTGAACTCTACGGTCGACTCCTTAAAAGGTTTATTTCTCCTAAATGACGATTGTTTTGTTAATCAATAACTTCATCAGATAGCTTTTGATTATAGGATGACTCTAAGTCACCAGATGTTGTGGAATGTAAAAGCAACTGTAACTGATTATGTCATAAACCTATCATCTACAACGTGTGTGCCAACACATATGATACAAAGTAAGTATAACTGTTAGTGTCATAAAACGTATCATCTATATCATGCCTAACGGGGATTACGGTTGATTTCCATATGATAAAGACATAATCTTGCAATCAGTTTAATTGAAGTCTGGAGCTGGCATGTCAGTAACTGTTAGTAGTCCTTCGTTAGTTTATGTTTATCACTGTCATTTTGCTAAGTTTCTTCTGTGACCTATTATAATATCTGACTCGGACATCTTTTGAACAGAGTTATACTGTGCGTTTTGCTGAGAATTGTTTATTCCACATTGGCTAGAGGTATAGAGGAGGATTGAGATCTCACAAAACATATTCAACTCCGCCCCATTATTGTGCTTTGGTCCAAGTCAGGAACCTCTAGGCTTTGTTAGTCTATTTAATTTTGATTTATTTGTATGTTTCGGAGTTTATTGCGGCGTTCATTTCGTTGAACTAGTATACATTATTGTTGAGAGGCCAGCTGGAGCCCGCCTCTGAGTGTGGGATTTTTCGCTGCGTTGAAGGCCCATGACTTGCCGTGGGTTGTTTGCTGCTCTATGGTCGGGTTGTTGTCTCTTTGACACATTATCCGTTTCCATTATCTATTCCATCTACAATGTTTGCACAATCAACTATAAAACAAAGTAGGTCTAAATGAGAGTCATTTCAATTTACACGAATTTAATTGTTGCTGGTCTTATATTTCGGAATTTTTCAGTGTTTAAGATTTTATACAAAAGATATAAAATATGTTTTATTCCTCAGTGAGACTCAGCTCAACCACACAAAAACAAATATATAATCAGAAACCAGCTCAAGGGTTCCAACAACAATAAAGTAACCATGCACTTGTCAAGTTTTAGATCGGATCGAGGCTAGAAAGGTTGCAAATATGTTAACCTCATACTACTAATGAATTCCTGCTATCATCAAGTCATTTAAAAGATTCTTAAAGACATAACGAAATACACGCTCATGAACAGTATATATCTTATGTTTCCTACGCATCAGAAAGAATTGACAAACAGGATGTAAACTTTAAGAAATAGGCTTATTTGACAATTGGTTCACAATGAACCGATGTATTGTTATGTCTCTTATTGCAATTGCTTCAAAACAAATTAAAGATCAAATCGTACGCATACAGAATACGTTTTTGTATATTTAGATCTGCCCCTTTCCCATGCAGTGCGAGACTACCTGATACATCAGGAGTGAGTGAACCTGATGTTACAGATGGACTGGAAGCATGCTATATTCCGACATGTCATTCCCGACCAAAAAATGAGTAGGTTTACTTTCACTTTGTTTCAATTATAAGATATAAAAACAATGTTTAAAAGAAAAGAAAATAAGACTGTACTGTAACGTCGTTCGGTCAAATCTGTATATGAATCTACAACATATACATGTGATCACATGTATGAATAACATAATTCTCCATTGATAATTTAATATTTATTAAGAAAAAGATTTCCAATTCTCTCAGAAAGAATTACAATGAACGTATTTGGCTATTCCATTTTATCTCTCCAGTAAATCATTCTTCACGTTTTTTATATGAATATTAATCTAACGTCGTTTTGTCAAATCTGTATATAAATCTACACCATATACGTATGATCACATGTATGTATAACACAATTCTCCATTGATGATTTAAAATATATTAAGAAAAAGATTTCAAATTTTCTCACAAAGAATTATCATGGATGTATTTGGCTATTCTGTTTATCTCCCCCAAGCGATTATGTAATTCCTCACGTGTTCGAGTACTTCTACATCCGGGTCTTCAAAGTTTTGGGTTTGAGAATTAGTGCTGATGTTTATTGCATCGGAAGCAACACATTGTTAAAAGAGCTGTATTTTAATTGACTGTTCTTCATAGCAGCAAAACAGAAGTTGTCCCTAGAGAAAGACATTGCGTATTATCAATATCTATTCCTATTTGTGGTATAGCCGCAATCTATAAAAATGTTGCTACAAAGTATAACTGATAAGAAAATCCGAGTGTCTAGATGTTTAAAATGTCATTCATAGTGCCTCTTATTGTTTGTCTAAATGAAATGTACCGGTTCAATGTAATTAAAAAATGTTCATTAATCATTCCGCGGCACCTCTTCATTTTATTCGGAGCGAACATTTTCATATAAAACCTCCTTGATTAAACTGACCGATGCAAGTATTCATTATATACATCTATTTTTTATTCTTATGCTGATGTCTGGTTGAATGTTCTCTGCATCGTTCCTTAATCTTTGGGTCCTTATTCAAATTTTGATTAACTTGTTTAACTAATAAAGTTTATAGCAGATAGAGACGTAAGTTGGTGATGTCTTTTATTTAGTGTATACTGGTTTTTTTGTTCGTTAATTGCTAGTTAGTCTTGAAAAATATAGAAACAATCCGATGCACATATGTACCGAAATATGTAGATCAAATGCTCTTTCCAAAATATGCACAAATATTCGAAATATTGCTAAGATAAAAAATATTTGTGGCTATATTAATGGTAAGGATTCCGCAGTTATAAATGTCATGTTTTAAATTTTATTTTAGAGATTGTTTTAGCGAGGCAGAGTGTAGCTGGTGTGAATATACGGACACAGGCCAACAGATAGATATGCCATGTTGTAGATTAAAGGAGGAATGCACTTTCGGAAAAACAAAATCTACAACAAGAGATACTTGTGGTACGTTAAAAAAAGAGTCGAAAAAAGTAAAATAACAAAAAAACCGAACTCCGAGGAAAATTCAAAACGGAAAGTCCCTAATCAAAAGGCAAAATCAAAAGCTCAATCACATCTAACGAATGTATGACAAATGTCATATTCCTGACAAAAAGGAAATGCAAAAACAAAGCATATGTATGAAATATGGATAAATAAGAAAACATGTTTACCAAAATATATCTAGGGTCATTATCACCTCTCCCGGTGAAGGAAGAGTATGTGTATCCTTCTTTGCATAAATATCCGTGTAAAAGTATAATGATTCTTTGTGCACCTTTTATTCCACACATGTTATGACAAATCTACATGTTCCATGATATGGTACAAACATATATCTTTGAATAAGGACAGCAGATATCGTTGCTTTAGAATTGCTTTTTTTCAATACCCATGTTGGTTATAACTAAACTTTTCACATCCAAGTCGTCCATCTGTGTCAAAATCTAGGGAAAGATCAAGGTATGAAGCAGATCTTCTTATTTCAGTAGTTTCCGTAAAAAGAAACACAAATAGTCCAAAATATTGTATATCAATTAAATTTCGAAAAGATACAAAAGAGGTCATGTGATCAAAGAAGACACTTGAATGACTATCAGTAAAAGGCTTTCTAATAATTGCGTTAGAATTGTCTTTATATCTAATATATTTACATTTACATTTTCCTAATTATGCTATAGACAGAGTTCAGCTCAGCAGTTTTTTTTTTATAATCTCCTGTACCAAGTCAGGAATATGGCAGTTGTCATTAAAAATTCTGTTTCTATGTATGTTGGCGGGTTGTTTTTTGTTTTGTTTTTTTGCAGTTCAGTGTTTCTGTTGTTCCGTTTTTTTCCTCTTATAGTTGATGTGTTTCCCTCGTTTTTAGTTTGTAACCCGGATTTCTTTACGCTTAATCGATTTATAACTATTAAACAGCGGTATACTACTCAGGGATGGGCACGATTACTGACAAATGTAATCGATTAATAATCGATTACTTGAAGGATTTTTGTACAATCGATTAATAATCGATTACACAGATTTTTGTATGTAATCGATTGCTATCGATTACTTTATCAAAAGCAATAACATTTCTTTCCGATTACTGTCAATTACATAAAAAATAATAATATAAAAAAAAAATTTAATTTAAACATAATTCTGTTGTTCAACGTATTTATGGTGGAAATTTAGAACTTTACAAAAACAGCTTTTAAAGCATTGTTTCCAAATGTTATGTTGACAGTTGTTTTCTAGATGAAAGCTTAAGCTCTTACCAAGGATTCAACTATATATACATTCTTGAGTGACTGATTATAAACATTAGAACATTTTTGAAATGACAGCGACCATCGCATCAATTGTTTCTGTATATTGTAAGTACTTTTCTCCATATTTTGCCAATTGTCTCACTGCTTTTTGGTTTTTTTTTTTCATTTTTAAACAGGTATATTTAAATATAATTCAAATCAGTTTTGGAGGTTTCCTCTGAAAAATATATATAAAAAAATAGAATAATTAGTTCAGTTTATTTTAAAGATGGAAAATAATAATTTCTAATTACATGAATGAATTTATCCTTTTGTTTGAATAACCTTCCTGATTACAGGATATAAAACTACTGCCAATGGAGAACAATAAATAACCTAGGGCAATATAATGTAAATCTCTCACTTAATTACACATTATTGAAATCAAAACAAAGTCTGTTTCTAATTAATTAGAAGTCTATGATCATCTGATTAGTAAAAACAAAAATGTTGTTGAGAATTCTTATTATAAAGAATATATATTTACAGTGTCAATATGGCATACATGTATCTATTACTGTACAAGAATTGCAATGCAATGGGTCACTGTCAAAAGAATTTTGTATACTTTCTTAATTTTTATATCATGACATAATGGAGAATCAAGAGAATATCATTTATAAGCTAAAATGCTATATCTTATTAAAAATTATGCTTTAAAGAATTTCATTACAAATAAGCTTACTACTTCAATGTAGTATAGAATTAATTTCTTTTTTTTTTAATATAAAAGGTCTTAAAACATGGACAAGTAATTTAAAGACTTTTGTTTCAAAAGCTTGAAATACAGTAAAATTTGTTAGATCTGGTTAATCATCATGCAGCTTGAGACAACAGATCTGAATTAGGTATTTGAAAAAATTTCAAGAACTTCATTAGTTCATTCTATTTTAACTGGTAAATGCATGCAGTTGTCTATTTTCATTTAAACTAGGTCATATTTCGTCAACCTATTTTACTGAAGTAATCGAAATGAAATCGAAAAGTAATCGATGATCATCATGTTTTTTTGCTGTAATCTATTAAATTACGATTACGTGTAATCGAAAATGTCGTCGATTACAGATTACTGTTGGTTACTTGAAAAAATGTAATCAATTACAATCGATTACGATTACAGATAACGATTACCCATCCCTAATACTACTGTTGCCTTTATTTATCGATATGGAAATCTTAACATTTTCGTTTTGAAAGTGCCGTTGAAATGATTTACTATATTGGTGCAGTAGATTGTGTACCTGCGCCTGTGGTGTATGTCCTTATGTTTAACCTTTATGGTTTTTGCTTGTTAAGAGAGCTGTATACATCTTCTTTTATAAATCTGTGTATACATATATTTTGGCATTGAACAAGCTCATGGTTTTCTCTTACTGTTAATGACGCCTTTACACTAAATCCAGTAGGTTTAGCTATTAAACAGGTTTAACCCAACAGTTTCTTCCGAGAATACATGTACCAAGTCAGAAATATGACGGTTAGTTTATATTCGTTCCGTTGGCTGATATCGTCGATCGTTTGATTAAGTCCGAACTCTGAACTTACCATCGAATTCAGTATTTGTGTTACAACTTTTAAGTTTTTTGTCCGTTCCTTATTATCATCATTGTTCATTTATATAACAAAAAGCATTCCGAGAGAACCAAATCTATAAAGTGTTATTTACATTTACCAGGCATACAAGGTTTAGCGTTTTTTAAGTAATGTCATAGATAAGAAAAAGATTTCCCGCTCATTGATGCATGATGGAACTCTTCTATTATATGATGCCATGTCATCTGGATAGGTTGAGTATTGTACAGGACAATTTGTTAATATGAACAAATACAAAGTCTTATAAACGAAAGGAGGTCACGGCTATACATCGGATTATTTAACTGACAGACCAGGTTATTTCATTGCAATCGATTAAAAAGTTACTTTCATCATGCCTGAGTATCTAACAGGAATATTGATTGATTGGTCAATTGGTTTTTTTAACATCACTTTCAGCACTATTGTGCTATATCATGGCCGTCATTTTTTATTGGTAAAGGAAGCCGGAGTCCCCGGCGAGAACCACCGACCTTCAGTAGATAAACTTACAATCATAGTCAATAAAGATTTGAGTCGAGTGCACCTGTTACGAGTGGGATTTGAATTTACAACCTAAGTGTTGATACTGATTCAGTAATTCGACTACTTAGACCACTCGGCCATCGATGCACCTAACAGGGAGAAATAAATATTTGAGCGAAAAGTTAATCAATGATATACCCGTTATATTTTCAGCACCACTACCAAACCCAACTTCAACAGATAAATCGTCAGGTGGTACTGAAGCAAGTACAATTGGAGGAATAATTGGTGGATCTATATTTTTTGGCATCCTAATCACTCTTATAATAATTTTCGGAATAAAGTATTTCCGATCTAAATATGCAAATGAAGATGTGGATCCTTATTTAGATGCTGTTCCAGGTCATGAACTTAGACAATTCACAGAAAAAGAGGAATTCAGTAGTGCTGAATCACTACCACCACCCTACAAAATACAACCTGCAGTTAATCAAAACTTTTATTGTGACTCGGCTTCTTAACTAAAAGTTTAATATAGACTAATGTTACTAAAAAGTATAAGAAAAATGTAAACAAATACCCGTGTATACTTTCTGATCAACTCTGGTTTAAACTTATATCAAAAATCTAAAAATGATTTAAAGGATTGTTTGCTAAAGACTGGAACACATTAATATTCATTTTCACGTTTACGAACCCCACTCAGCAGGTGTCGGAATCTTTATATGTATCTTTTCCTTTTTCAGTTTGTTGTTAATTTTAGACGTCATAGATTTGAGTCAATTAGTCAGAAAGTTACTTCCTGACTTTGTTTACTTTTTAAAAAATATCTTCATTTAATTAATAAATTCTATAAGTGAGATCATTCTTCCACAATAAATACTATCTGGGTTTTTTTTTTTTTTTTATTTATCTATTCATTTGTTTATGTTTTAGTAGTGAAAAGACCACTTACGTTTAAATCTCTGATAACCCGGCGCACCAACTGTGAAATTTACCAATAAGGAGGAACCAAGGCACATAAATTTTAACGTTAGATTAATTAAGCGTAAGTTCAAATGAATAGATTCCATTGATTTGGTTAGAAAAATCTTCATTTTGCTCAATTAAACCAGCTTTGAAATTTATAGTTATCCAGAATTCTGTTTTCTATGGTTTTAATTACAATGAACATTCTTAGAGTCATTTGTAACTTTTCTTATTCAATTTGTAATGATCGATTTTAACTTTGATAATGTAACTTTAGTGCATACATGAAAATTTCAATGTCTTAAACATATCACAATTAAACAACATAACCAAAAAAAAAAATGTCATATGATTTTTGATAAATTTTATTCTGTGAAATGACTTAATCAAAATAATATCATTATATGATACATCTTATATCAAAATATTGGTCTTCATAATTAGGCTGCTGCACATATATTAATACAACATATATTAGTCTTAGTTATTTTTCTAATGCTACAAAATATTGATATTCAAAAGACGAACCCAAGTGTTGACTGCGGTATATAAAAAACATCCATGGACTTTTCTCTCATCCGGCAGTAAAACCCATGACAGAGAGTAGCGTCCGTTTAACAGGGCAACATGTATAAATGTTCAGAATGCCTAGTCAGAAAAAGTTAAAATCCGAAGCCCCGTATTGGGAGAATCCAAAATATCTGCACATTAAAAAATCCTTGCAACAAAACTATTTCCCTTACATGTATATATATATCGTCTCACTACATATTTTACATTTGGGACATACATTGAAAGTTTGAAAAAATTGTCAGCCTCATCTGTCACTTTGACTGACAGCAAAATATGGACACTGAGTGTTGGTAGACAGCTAAACTTTATTACAAAAACAATGACTCCAATATTACCATTGTTAAGATGCGAACCAGTAAAGTTCATTCGTGAAGCACCTGCAATTAAGAGTATATATAACCCTAGGCCTATTAATATGATATTCAAGGCTTGCATTTCAAATTACAATTTACAAGATAACAAAAAGAAGCCCTTGAACAAATAGTCCCTTATGGTAATGTGGTCAACACTTTGAAACTTCAAAGAACCCATGAATATGTTGATTGTTATGAAATATAAACCGATATCATTGGATTATTGCATGCAATGCCATTAAGAAAGGCGCCACCGAGTTCTGCCGGACTATATGTTGATCAGGTACCACTCCAAGAGCATCCAAGTTTTGTAGGACTATATGTTGATCAGGTACTACTCCAGGAGCACCAGAGTTCTTTATGACTATCTGTATGATCAATCATTTGTTTTAAGTGCAGTGTTTTATAGTTCTTTGCCTTGGGTTGTAAATATAGCTACTTGTGTTCCTTCAAATTAACGCAACAATTATAAAATTATTCTCTTGTTCCATCTGGAGATAAAAATGGTTGGCAAAAGTCAAGGTCAAACAGTGAAATAAAATAACTATTCATTCTGTAATTATTAAAACTTTAATAACTAAAAACAATATTTGTATCAATAATATTAAATAATAAACATATTAACAGATCTATTTGGCAGTACAATGAATTTGGAATGTGTTATTTTTTTCTTTTCTCCTTTGAAGAGTGCATTTTTTTTTCGAAATTTAATAGTAACAAATTTATTTGAATATGTAACGATGTAATTAAGAGGAAAATAGTAGAAAAACAAGGAAAGGATTTTTTTTAATTTAAGCCACACATGCATCGATCAAGGAACATTTGAGGTTTAGCAGATCTATCATTAATAAGCAAATGGGAACAGAAAGTAATGTGTTATTACTCTCTTAAAACATTGTAAATATGTACAAATCATTTCAAGTTCTCAATTCTTATATAATAGAATTTTACGTAGACAATGACAAACATTTTCTAGTTTGATACACTTCATTTAAATAGTATTCTTTTTTTCCAGTACAACAGTAAATATTTATCTAATTCAATGTGTGTAGTTGTTTATATCAATCAAATAAAAGACAAGGTAGTACCAAAGTGGATATATTAAACAATCAATATTCTGATTGATTTCAAATTCACATATAATAAAATGAACAACTGATTCATGTTTCAATTGTCAAAACAATAACAAATATAAATACAAATATAAATAAAAATACAAGTATCACTTTGATTGTTACTCACTGTTATAATGGTTATAAAGATAAGTGTTTTAACCTTGCATCAACGGTAGCAATGATTATTCATATAGCAAGTCATTTACGTTCCTTTCTGCGGAAGCTGATAAGTGGTTCAGTTTCACTGCTAGTGCTGCGAGAAAAGTTCACATTACTGGTTGAAACATCAGACAGATCTGTAGATGTGTTATTCCACCAAGATGAAAATGAGATTCTGCTTTCTGGAAGTCCCCACAACACTAATGCACACAACACAGGTTGCAGTGGATTTAAAACGCACTGAAAAGTCAATGCTATAGTTTGAATACATAAAACACACTAAAAAGTCAATTCGATAGTATGAATACATAAAACAAACTGAAAAGTCCTTGCCATACTATGAATACATAAAACACTTAAAATTCTTTTTTTTTCAAATTTAATAAGTTTGGTTTGTTTTAAACTAAAAAAATATAAATGCATCCTTCAAATAAGCATAGAGTCATTTTCACTATCACATAAAACGACAGGGAAACCTTTCTTAATTATTTCAAATTACTTACAAATCTCTTCCATGTACAGGGGTGCGAGTACACAGTGAAATATAGCTCATTGAAAATAACTTAATTTAAGTATGAACTGTGACATTAAATAGCCATCATGAATAATTGTAGTGAATATTTTTCTGGAAATCACCGATATATAACTATTTTTTAATGTTTCAGAATAAACCTTGAAGTGAATTATACTTCTATTTTCTATTTCTATATTAATTTTCGACAAACTATCTATATTTTTTACCTGCAATAAGAAAAAGGACACTAGTACTTATTTTTTCCATTTTTAAAAGACATTATAAAAATTTTTTTTTAAATATTATTTTCCAATTATTTCATACATACTGTATAATATTGAACTCATAACCCAAATTTTTTTTTATGGTGATTGCAATCTATTTCAGCTTTCTTGAGATAACTTTCTTCTTTAAGTAATTTTATTGTCAGAAAAATTGCATGCATCTCTTCTTTTTATGGCTCATTGCCGTTAATTTAAAGTACAAAGCCTACCATAATGATCCATATTGTTAATTTTGCTGTTTTGTTGTCATTTTGTGCCATGTGTATTACAGCATCAATTATATTTGGCAGCCAGCTAAAATAGAAAGCAGAATTGTGATATATGATTAAACAAGGCTGAAAACAGAGGGAACATGTGTGCTAATGTCTTGTTATTTTGACTTGTTTCGAAACATGACTTGGTTGGCTGACGCATACAGTGTGTCAAGTGTTTCAAATCACTGAAACATGTTACATTATGTATTTGTTTTTTTTTTATCTATCTTGTATTATCAGCAACAAGAGTACTTGTCTGATTACAAAATGTATCCACTGTATCATTCACTGTTGTCGTTTTTGTTCATATGGCGGCTGATGTTAACCCTGTGGACTCACCCTCTATTTTGTATTCATATGATCCCAATAGTTGTTTACTTTTTTTTTCATTCTAAAAAAGTATAGCAAAAATACAAACTCCAAACTTCTAAATTAAAAGTCCGAAGCATCTTATTTCTTAACTTCTATTTACGATATTTGAACAGCGGAAACTTCGCTTTGTATTGATTTTTTTTTTTTGTGTCAGCCTATAACGTAGATTAACTCAAAAGACTGAAACATACTTTCAAAGAACATGAGAACTCCATACCAATGTATTATGCATCAGACCTAGTCAGGAAAGAAAAACAAACTGAGTAGTATCGTGTGTATAACCTATAAAAATAAACATTTGAGAACCTTTAAAGCGCACAACATAAAAAAAAATTAATTCAATTTGAATTTATTACCTTGTAAGAAAAGCAGCTAAAATGAGGATAAATTTGAAGTGGATTGAATCTATCAGTTTTCTTTCACTAGCTGTGTATCTACCATAATGCCATATTAACGCACGTTTTGCTAAAATGGAAAGTTAAGAAAGTTAAGTCAATTCTCAATAAATAATTAATAAAATACACTATTATAAATGTTAAAAACTTTCAAAAAAAAAACAATTTTGTCAATGATAGTCTACAGTCTGCTGTGATATATTTTAAGTTTTCGTAAAGCAATCTTAAAATTGAGAATGGAAATGGGGTATGTTTCAAAGAGACAACAAACCGACCAAAGAGCAGAAAACAGCCGAAGGCCACCAATGGGTTAACACAGTGAGCAAATCCCGCACCCGGAGGCGGGCTTCAGCTGGCCCCTAAACAAAAATGTGTAACTACTAGTTCAATGAAAATGGACGTCACACTTAACTCCAAAACATATAAATGAACTAAAATTAAAAAACATACAAGACTAACAAAGGATAGAGGCTCCTAACTTGGGACAGGCGCAAAAAATGCGGCGGGGTTAAACATGTTTTGTGAGATCTCAACCCAACCCCTATACCTCTAGCCAATGTAGAATGAACAAACACACAGCAATACGCACAGTAGAACTCAGTTTAAAAGAAGTCCGATCAGATCTCTTCAATTCTTTTTATTCATAATTCGCATTACTGTGTGAAATGTTCCTAAAATGAGTGTCCATGAAAACAAATGCGTGGTGTGATTGTGATTTGAAAGAGCAATCTGCCAAAAGCAAATAACAATGTGTGTCCATTAACACCCAGCTTCGCTCAAATAAATGGGGAACGTGTCCATGGGACACAGATGATGCACCGGCTTGAATATAACGTTATAAAGGGAAATAACGAAGAACTGTAAAAGTGACACTACCCAAATTTGTCCTTGATCTGAGTTTTGTGGTAATAAGCATTGTGTGCAAGTTTTATAACATTTAGTTGAGGCAAACTTAAGTTAGAGAACTGAAACGAAAAATTCAGCAATTTTACCATTTGTAAAGGAGCATAACTCTAGAACGGTAAAAGTGACGCCACCAGAATTCAAATTTGATATGTGTTTTGTTGTAATTAGCATTGTGCATAAGTTTCATAACATTTGGTTGAGGCAAACTTAAGTTAGAGAACAGAAACGTATATTTCAGCAATTTTTCCATTTGTAAATGAGCATAACTCTAGAACGGTAAAAGTGACGCCCCCAAAATTCATACTTGATCTGTGTTTTGTGGTAACAAGTATTGTGTATCAATTTCATAACATTTGGTTGAGGCAAATTAAAGTTAGAGAACGGAAACCAATTTTGGGACGTACGGACGTACGTACGAACGTACAGACGGACAAGGGTAAAACTTGATGCCCCTCCGCTTCGGTGGGGACATAACTATCACATTTACAGATTTAGTGAACCTCGAAATCTTGGTAAAATCATAAATACATAATATATATATATACATTAAAAGGTTCTAATTAAAATTATGAACCTAATAAATGCTCAGTCTTTTGTTTTCTATTAAAATTTTTGTGAACTTGTCTCATGTGTCTATTCGTTTTTTGTTTTTCAGTCATTGCGTTTTCATTTCTTTTTTTTTTCGACTCATGAGCTTTAAATGTCCCTTTATATCTCCTTCCTGTTTTTACAGAAATATTTTCATCCCTGTTTTTCTCCGGTCTGGCAGTTAAACCATTGCTTTAATAGGGCATCCGTTCGCCTGTGTCGGATGTATGAATATGCAGGTAAGTTCGGTTTAAATAGGGATGTTCAATAGTGCCATGCTTACTTTGATGGGACCATAGGTAGCCTGTGATAAGGCAAATCTTTACCCCAATCTGCTACATTTCCTCAATCTCAAGAGGCAGTTAAAATTTCCATCCTTCATTCCGGTCGACCTACATTCCAGAAGAACCTACTTAATGTTCTAATCCTGAATATGTATGACATATTTTCCACTGGACGTCAGGCAAGCAACATTATCGTTCAATCAATTCATAATGAACACATGATCTACGTTCCATGTTTATGTGAGCCAAACTTCATGATACGTTTAAACCGAATTTTTTTCTTCATCAACAACGGACTCTCGGACTGTAAATCAAGATGCCTTTTCTTCTTAGACAAATCATTTAAAGCGGATTTTTCTGGTATTTGGATTAAACTTGTCAACACAATAGTTGTTGTCAAATAAAGTTTTTTTCTTAAAATATGTCAATAACCCCACTGCAAATCAAAAATGACGTAAATAATTTACAGATGATAGAGATCATGCCTTCGTAAATAAAGTTTTATTATCGACAGTAAGTGCCGTATATTATCGTAATTAACAGATCACGAGTACTATGCAGTCTATAAATAGGGTTTGTTACCGTTTACTCATCCATCTTAGTAATCCATATTCAGCAAACGTCATAACAATAATAACTATATATATTATATTAAGAACTACAACTGAAATCTTATAACAGCGGAGAATAACACTAGATAAAGAAGATTATTGTCATTTTTAATGGTAAGTCAATATGAGTCTTTTAAATTTCCGGTGATTTTAAGACCGTTCAAATGAAACGTTCTATATTGAAATGTATCACTCTATTAAGTTAGCTTAATACTAAAAGCAGTTTAGAAATTCCCTTTTATTAAACTTTTCTTCATTCGAGCGTCACTGGAGAGTCTTTTGAAGACAAAACGCGCGTCTGAAATTTGATGCAACTGTCATACAAGTGAGAGGTTTAGCCAGCTATAAAACCAGGTTCAATCCACCATTTTCTACATAAGAAAATGCCTGTTCCAATTCAGGAATATGACAGTTGCTATCCATTCGTTTGATGTGTTTAAGCTTATGATTTTGCCATTTGATTAGGGACTTTCCTTTTTGAATTTTCCTCGGAGTTCAGTATTTTTGTGATTTTACTTTGTACAAATTTGAAGCCTGGCATCTATGATGTATAAAAAGGATGTGGTATGAATGCCAATGAGACAACTCTCCACAAGAGACCAAATGATACAGAAATTAACAACTATAGGTCACCGTATGGGGCATTCAACAGTTAGCAAAGCCTATACCGCATAGTCAGCTATAAAAGGCCCCGAAATGACAACTCTAAAACAATTCAAACGAGAAAACTAACGACCTAATTTATGTACAAAATAATGAGAGAAAAACAAATATGCAACACAGCAACAAATGACAACCACTGAATTACAGGCTCCTGACTTGGGACATGCACATACATAATGTGGTTAGGTTAAACTAGTTTGCTGGCGCCAAACCCTCACCCTAACCTGGGACAGGTGTGTAACGGCACAACATAAGAACAAACTATGCAAAACAATAAACGAAAAACAAATATGAGAAACAGCAAAAAACGACAACCACTCAATTACAGACTCCTGACTTGGGACAGGCATATGTAGAATGTAGCGGGGTTAAACTAGTTAAACCCTCCCCCTAACTTGGGACAGAAGTGTAACAGTACAACATAAGAAGAAACTATAAAAATCAGTTGAAAAAGGCTTAACTCATCAGAGGGAAACAAATAGAAATACATCTAACAAAAACAGAGTGAACGTGTGATTATTTATTACTTAAATGTAATGTTCAATAGTGAACCATGAAAATAAGGCTTAAGCACACGTGAACTGTAACATCTATGTGTCATTTTTATAATACATCCTCACATTATACGAATATTAGTATATAACCGTGGCATTTATAACATTTAATGGGTCAGTCAAAACAAATTCAGTTCAGTGAATGATGTAAATTCTAAATTTCATGATAAGTATAGATACATGAAATTGCAATTAAATTTGTGCATGAAGTCATAAATTAGACACCAATTATTCATAATTTAGAGGATGGTTGTAACGATGATATTCAGTGAACAATATTTTGTTCTGTCAAAGTAAGTTATTTCTTATTTCAGTATTATATTAAAGTGAAAAATTTTGTACTGCATTTGTTTATAGTTGTAATCTCTGTCCTGCCTTTTTATTTTTCACTCTATTCGGTCCTGCCTTTTTTTATTAGTTTATCCTGACTTTTTTTACATAAATTGTCATCCTGCCTTTTTTTTTTTTTTTTTTTTTTCGCAAAGTTGCCCATCCTGCCTTTTTTTATATACAAAACTCCTGTCCTGCCTTTTTTCAAATTTCATCCTAGCCCCCATAAAAATCAAATGGTAGCTCCCTAAAACTGACCTGTTCTACGGTTTATATTATTGTTTCCGATTTTTTTAAAGACTAAAGAGGTTTTTTTAAAACTTTAGGCTTATGACAGCAGAAGTGAACAGGAGATGATCTTTTACAAACGTTAATTACCTCAATGTTAATTCAAAAACATGTTAGGTACTGCAAGTAATAATAATACTTACTAATTACTACAAGGTGAGGGTTTTTAAATAACCAATGAGGTTTTAAATTATCATTATGAATAAATGGAGGTTATCGGTCATTGCCTCAAATTCCAAATGATTCAGTCACTCTAATGCACAAAATGTTTCTTTTCCGAGATAGCTTACGAGTAACAAAGTACGGTAAATCATTTATCTTATCATTCGCGCCAAAATTTTCTATTATCATGGTTATTTCTTTGAAAAGCACATATCAATCATCAATCATTTATTTCCTATTCTCAATTCAGGAAAGACCTTTGCTTTATAAAAATAAAAGCAAAACAGCACCAGGTTTTTTTTTCATAAGGAGTCGTATATACTCTTAAAAAAAGATTATTTTTATAAATGTAACCATTAAAATACAATGACATGTCTAATTGCTATTTATTTTCGTTATAGTTGATGTCAATTGTATACAGATTCTGATAGTCAACTCTAATAAACCTTGCCAACAAGGTTTTAATTAAGATCACAAGATATCGTTGAAGAAAATATTCAAATTTGAACTTCTTTTGCTATGTTTATAAAATATTTATCAGTGAAGTTACTGCAATACATGTGTGTGATCTTATCTATACGGACGATCTCCACAAATAAGGAAATAGAGAGACTAGAGAAAGAAATTGGTAAGCTTTCCCGACAGGTTATGCTACAGCAATTATTTATAGAAGAAAAAACTCGAAGTGAAGGAGATTCTGGATTGAAACAGACGAGAATTTTAAACGATGGATCTAAACCATATCACTTTCCGACAACAAGATCGAAAAGAGGGGTAGCTGCCATTCATGATCACGGACATATGAAACGCACAATTGGTGTTGGTGAATTTGTTGCTGTTTTAAATGGAGTTGAATTCAGAACACGGCATAATGATCCTGAACTACGCATGCCAAGTACCACTTCATCAAATTTCTTAGAAACTGAGGAAATACCTTTTCCTGAAGTTCCACCTGAGGTAAAACAGAAAGAAACTGTGGCTGAGCAAGTACAAGAAATGCGTGAATGGTTTATGGCTTTCAAAGATCAAAATCACAAAAAAAGAGATTACCGCAAATATTTCAAACCTGTTCTGTGTTATCTTGAGGGAATGTGGGTATATGATAACAATACTGATATATTAGAACCTTTTTTAAGCGACAGGCACAAGTTGGATGCTAGCACTTTTGAGGACCTCGAAGATAAAGTAATGTTTACATCTTACGGAGGACGAAAGGATGGTATGGAGAATTTTGGATGGCTTCCCAAAACAATTATATACACTGAAAATGGGAAATCACCTTCATACGCACAATGGATATACAGAATTGTTTGCCATCCATTAAAGCACGACCTTCCGTTGAATCGTTTACGAATGATCGATGATTTGAGCTCGAGAATGATGTTCCTACGTTCAGAAGAAGAGGAGATGAAAACAAGACGTGCCCGATTTAAGCTCAATCAAAGGGACAGACAGGAATGGAAAGAAAGATTTGATCAAAGTCCTGGATTTATTGACAGCTTAATGAGCGAAATACCAGGTTTAGACAATTATGGCGGGAATTTGACAGACGAAGCATTGAATCTGCCAGCATACTGTCCCGGTAAAGAACAGACGATATTAAACACTGCATATTATCACAGATTCTATGAGGAAATACGACCTGATTACATGCGCTTATCCTTAAGAAAACGAGCTTTTTCTGACAGCAATCTGTTTATGTCGATGACATCACAGCCACAAGTAGCAGGGAAAAGTTTAAACTATTGCACGAAAGAAGACTCATTACAGAAAAAAGCCTGCAAATCTTATCACCAGCGATGGTCATATGCCGTTCCCTTTGAAATTATATACCTTAACCCACTTACAAATTGGAATCCTTATAACATTACCTATAAAGGTCATTACAAGAATGACCCGGAAGCAAAATTTGTAACAGAAAATGGAAAACGAACTGGCGGGAATGATATTCATACAGCATATAATGGAACAAATAGTTGGTATTTCTTTCAAATTCCACAGAGTTTTTACAGTGGAAATGAAAATAAAAAGGGGCACGGAGGCATCGGTGTGTTAGATGAAAACGGGAAAGTGAGATATACCAGAGCATCCGGAATCCGAGTGTTTATTCCGGAAATCAGAGGCATTGGGATCATACGTCAGAGATATCCCATCATGCCTCTGTACAGTGAAGGAAACACAGCGTATAAAGAAATGGAATCCTTAAAAGACATAGTTTTGGAAAATAACAATTATCTAAAAATGTTCCATAATCTACCTAAAGATGGAAAAAGTGATAAATTGAGAAAGAACCAGATAAAACTTTCAGTTGAAAGGGGAATAACTCTTATCATGTCAAGGGCAACATCGTCCGATCCAGGTCCGCATAATCACTATGTTGATCTTTCGGCAGAAAATGTCAATACTTTAAAATCAAAAAAGAAGTTAACAGTTCGAAGTAGCGAGGACAGTGGACATGACCATCGTGTGACGATTGAATACCGTCCACATCTCAAAAATCCATTTGTCATGACTAGGTGTGACCACAAAAAGAAATGTTGGGATGGTCATAAAAAGCTTTTACTAGAAAACATTGAACAAGAACATGAACAAGATGAACTGAAAGAAAATAATGACGACGACAGACCAGAGAGTTATAAGGAATAAACTTCAGTATTCTATTGTTATTAATAATATTGATTTTTCTGTCTCTGAAACAGAAGTATAGTATACCATAAATGTCACCATTTGAATACTCTCAAAATATCAAGGTTCAGATTTATGATTTCATATTTAAAACAATTAGGGTTGTCCTCATTAACTCACATTTTTTCAAATTACTTTTAAAGAATTAAAAGTTATAAAATCAGAGCAGATATATATACTTCGTAATTCAACTCAAGACCTGAAAACAATGAACTCCTTGTTTAACTTATTTGATTCAAATGTCAATGATGAGTCTTTTGATGTCGAAAGGGAGGAGAAAAAGAAAAACACAAAGTTAAAGATTATAGGGACTAATAGGCAAAAAGGCAGTAACAAAACACTACATAGAACAAGAATATAAGCCCATAGGACACCATGCCCTGCTTGGACTCTCTTGTCCATAGGACACCATGCCCTACTCGGACTCTCTTGTCCATAGGACACCATGTCCTGCTCGGGCTCTCTTGTCCATAGGACACCATGCCCTGCTCGGGCTCTCCTGTCCATAGGACACCATGCCCTGCTCGCACTATCTTGTCCATAGGAAACCATGCCCTGCTCGGGCTCTCCTGTCCATAGGACACCATGCCCTGCTCGGGCTCTCCTGTCCATAGGATACCATGCCCTGCTCGCACTATCTTGTCCATAGGACACCATGCCCTGCTCGGGCTCTCCTGTCCATAGGACACCATGCCCTGCTCGCACTATCTTGTCCATAGGACACCATGCCCTGCTCGGGCTCTCCTGTCCATCAGACACCATGCCCTGCTCGCGCTATCTTGTCAATAGGACACCATGCCCTGCTCACACTATCTTGTCCATAGGACACCATGCCCTGCTAGGGCTATCTTGTTCATAGGACACCATGCCCTGCTCGCGCTATCTTGTCCATAGGACACCATGCCCTGCTCGCACTATCTTGTCCATAGGACACCATGCCCTGCTCGCGCTATCTTGTCCATAGGACACCATGCCCTGCTCGCACTATCTTGTCCATAGGACACCATGCCCTGCTTGCACTATCTTGTGTATAAAAATAAAAAGATGTGGTAAGATTGCCAATGCATGTTCAGTTAACCATGTAATATCAGTTAAGTATTTCAAAACGTTCAACTCATGATAAGCATATGTACCAAGTTTCAAGTTGATCTGACTATAGCTTTAACGTTAAATTCCTCAACGAAAACATTTCACCTCAGAATGTACCCATAATTCTATGTTTTGTGAACCTTACATTTTTTAAAAAGTTTTCATCATAATTAAAATGTACACTAAGTATCAAGTTTATGTGACTACATCTTCATCATTTACTACCTTAACCAAAAAATTTATTCTGATTCGGGATGGACGGACAGACCGGGCAACGTAATGCCTTCTTCTATCTTAGCTATATATATAGGCATAAAATTGTTTTCGGCATAAAAAACCAAGGATGAACTCATGTTCTTGAGAATGGTAACACGATGACATTGTACTGTTTAAAATACATCCACGTTTACAGTAAAATACATCATCTTCATTCCAAAATTCATAAAGAAATCAGGGCAAGTAAGTTTTCTTTCAGACTATTAAAATTTACAATTTTACTTGCCCAGGGACAAGTGGTCACAACAAATATTTCCATACCCCTGCTCTTTTGGGGAGAGGAGACCCACATTTAAATTTTAGCAAGTTGTTTGATCATTTTCAATATCATCATGAATATAGTATTTCGTTCTATTGATGAGGAGAGTGAGATATACAGTTCTGGTATATCCTGTACCTAGATATATTGAAATAAATCTTATGTCATGTTACACTGATGGATAAGTTAAATCTTCAACAAAACATATCAATTGGAAAATTTTTGACTTATTTAAAATAATAGGTTTCATAATGAGTGACAATTTGGGATATCGCTTGATATATATCAACTTCAGTTACTTAATTTCAATATAAAAATTAAAATAGATCTTCAGTGATTTATTATAACTATTAAATTTAAATAACAAGAGTTGATATCAAGTAACATCCAATTCTCATGAGTTGTCAAAATTATTTCTCTTCTGTTCCAACACTAATTGTGTTTCATAAAAATTTTTGTGAATTGCTGATCCTGTCTTTTGCACATCCCAATATGACGTCGTATGTCTTGTTCCAGTGTCAAACTTTACATCCAGCATTTTAAAACTTTTTGTACACTTAATTCAGAATGTATTAAAATTTGACAAGAAGATGATTTTCAGGTATAAAGTGTGAGTGTTTTGTTTTATTAATGAAGAAATCAAAAATGTCCATTGCTATTGACCAAATTAACATCGTCTTACTACATCAACCTCATTTTTTTCAGAATTTCTCAAATAAATTCAGTTAGAAAAGACTTTTCCTTTATCACTATACGCTGTGAAAAATAATAATTGTACATTTTTTATTGTTTTTCAATCGCCCCTTGGGAACATCCTTGCCTAACTTTGTGTCAGACAACTGCTCAACTTTGTTTTCAAACTTGGACTCAGTTCTTTTAATCACTGTTTTTGGCAAGATAGCTAGATGCTGAGAGGTCGTTTCAGGATTTCTTATTTGGGGCAAGTTTTGATTTTGTTTTCCAATAAACCAGGACACTTCCTCTTTCACTGTATGTGGGATAAACCAGTTGAATCATTGAAAAATTTACGTTTTCGCTTTTCCCTATAATATTTTTGGTCTTTAGTCAGATCCTGTCATTCTGGCTGCATTTCATCAATCAGCCGTGCTGTATCACCTGTTTCGTCAGGTTTTCTTTTGGAAGAGGTCACTCCAAAACCAAAAAGACTCATTACTAGTTATGCTTGAGTATTAAATATATTCTGGAGTCACCCGGTATCTTGTAGGATGACTAGTCCCTTGACTGCACTTCAAAACAATTGCGAAGAATTAAAGCAAACACATAAGTTACTAGATCATTATATTTTTTGTTCAAAATACTTGTGTAATTTTTTTAACCTGCAAAAATACAAAAGTCCATCGAGTGTAACTAACTCCCAGTGGGAAGGTCTGAATCCTTAAATGGAAGGTCACAGACCTTGACCCACCACTAATTGGAACCCCTGATGACCTAACGAATAGCCAATAGAAATATTGTCTCATGATGCTGGATAAGCCAATTACATTAACACAATTTTCATATCACTTTTTTGTATCCGTGCAGTGTGATACTAGAAATATCTCTTCATGCAAGAAATAGATAACAGGCCACAACCATAAGAGAATGAATGGTTATTTAAGGATAAATGTTAGTAAAAGACATGTATAAATGTTAGTAATAGACATGCATAAATGTTTAGAAATGGACTGAATACAAAAACATCCAGTCACCTTTTAACAATTACTGAAAGACAGCATGACTCTGTTTTTCAGTCAATAAAAGCAAAAAAAAATTAAACTTTGTCTTTTTTATTTCCGAAACAAATTTGCAACTAGTTTGCATAAATATCAATGAAAGGTAAAAGAGGATTTATCTTTAAGTGTGAATTAAATTGAGAAGAAATTAGCCTTTACAAACTCACCTGCTTTTGATGCAAAATAAAACAGGAATGGATTACAAATCAACACTAATAAAATAGGCAACAGAAAGATGAAGTATAACATTGCTCTTTCAATTTCTGTCTTTCCATCATACCTGAAACATAATAAAACAAGAATGGGTCCATAGTACACGGATGCCCCACTCACACTATCTATGTTCAGTGGACCCTGAAATTGGGGTCTAAACTCTAATTTGGCATTAAAATTACAAAGATCATATCATAGGGAACATGTGTACTAAGTTTCAAGTTGATTGGACTTCAACTTCATCAAAAACTACCTTGACCAAAAACTTTAACCTGTAGCGGGACGGACGAAATGACGGAAGAACCAACGGACGCACAGACCAAAAAACATAAAAAAAACTCATTTTGTATGCTAGATGGGCATTTGGGTAAACAAAAGTTGCATTAGAAACACTGGAATCAATAAAGTTAAATGGCCAAATACCTGAAACATAACAAAGTATGATAATAAGGTTGACTAACTGTATTTTGCATAATGTTCAAATCAAACAAACTCACATTCCTCCAAATTCAAATTTTATCAACTAAGAAATCTGTTTTCATACAATAAAGCATGTTCAATAAATAATGTGTAACATATTATGGTTAAGGTATGTTAAAGTTACTGCAAACTGCTGTAAAGCTTGTTGTGAAGTTCTTGCAAACTTTTGAGTTTTCAGTAACCCTGCCATAAACTATTTCTTTGTTCGCCAAAAGGTCACCCATACCTGCTAACAACTCAGATCTACTTTTATGTCTTGGAAAAAGCAACCATAGTGTTATGTGGCATAATAATAAGTGACTAATTTGAATAAACAAGGCAGACAACTTAAGTTACCATGGTAACAATTTTAATACTTACTCTTTAATACCATTATGATATAGCAGTAATAATCCTGATCCACATACAATTCCAGGCATGATCCATCCAAGAATATACTTTACAGCTGTAGGTCTATAACAAAGTAAAGGTAATTAGATTTAATTCAATTGGTTTATGATTACAGCAAATAGTTCATGCAGAACGAAACATTTCATATTATGGTTAGAAAAAACTTGTATAAGATACTAGCTTGCTTATAACATTAGGCGTCAGATCTGTGTTTCATCTACATTAGACTCATCAATGGTGCTCCTATATTAGACTCATCAGTGGTGCTCATACATTAGACTCATCATCCATGGTGCTCCTACATTAGACTCATCGGTGGTGCTTCTACATTAGACTCATCAGTGGCGCTCATACATTAGACTCATCAGTGGTGCTCATACATTAGACTCATCAATGATGCTCATACATTAGACTAATCAATGGTGCTCATACCTTAGACTCATCAATAGTGCTCATACATTAGACTCATCAATGGTGCTCATACATTAGACTCATTAGTGGTGCTCATACATTAGACTCATCGATGGTGCTCCTACATTAGACTCATTGGTGGTGCTCCTACATTAGACTCATCAATGGTGCTCCTACATTAGACTCATCAAAGGTGCTCATTCTCATCGATGGTGCTCCTACATAAGACTCATCAATGGTGCTCATACATTAGACTCATCAATGGTGCTCCTACATTAGACTCATTGATCGTTCTCCTACATTAGACTCATCAGTGGTGCTCATACATTAGACTCATCAAAGGTGCTCATTCTCATCAATGGTGCTCCTACATTAGACTCATCAGTGGTGCTCATACATAAGACTCATCAGTGGTGCTCATACATTAGACTCATCAATTGTGCTCATACATTAGACTCATCAATGGTGCTCATACATTAGACTAATCAATGTTGCTAATACATTAGACTCATCAATGGTGATCCCTCCCCTAAAAAGTGCTTTACTGATGTAGTTCTACACCACAGTAATGTAACTGTTGCTTGATGAAGGCAAATATTTCATGCAGAAATAGAAATACACTCCATCAATTAGAGCTTGACATATGGAATTGTTAAATACATAATTTTGTCTTTAATTATCCTTTAATTTTGGTTTATTGTTGTAAACCCCCAGATCTCTTTTATATTCATAAAAGTGAAATGATTCTGAAATAACTGTCATATTAGTGGCTATCTGATGTAACTGTCATGTGTGTGGTGGTGTAATGAAACTGTCATGTATGTAGCTATCATGAAACTGTCATGTGTGTGGTGTTGTTATGAAACTGTCATGTTTGTTACTGTCATGAAACTGTCATGCATGTGCACGTGGTTATCTGATGAAACTATCATGTATGTGGCTATCTGTTGAAAGTGTCATACATGTGGCTATCTGATGAAACTGTCATGTATGCGGGTATCTAATGAAACTGTCATGTATTTTCCTATCTGATGCAACTGTCATGTATGTGGCTATCTGTTGTAAGTGTCATGTATGTGGCTATATCTGATAGAACTGTCATGTATGTGGCTATCTGATTAAACTGTAATGTGTGTGGCTATCTGATGAAACTGTAATATGTATGTGGCTATCTGGTGAAACTGTCATGAGTGTGGCTATTTGATGAAACTGTCATGTGTGAAGATGTCTGATGAAACTGTCATGCATGAGGCTATCTGATGAAACTGTCATGTGTGTGGCTATCGGATGTAAATCTAATGATACTTACAGCTCTTTGTTGTTGGCCACCATTAAAGCTTCTATAGCATACAGAATTATCCAAAAGTAAGAACTCTCATAGAAGTATTCTATAAATACCTGCAGTGATAATAGTAGGTGAATTAAAGGAAATATCATCAATGGTACAGAAACCCAATGACACACCATGCACATACTGAAATGTTTCATCTGGTTGATTGATTACACATGCAGGTAAATGATGCGAGTCTGATTATAACATGTAAATCTAGAATTAAGAAAATTGCTGTTTAACAATTGACCATGACAGTAGTGGTCTGAAATAATTTTTTTTTTTTGTTGATTTGGATTATAATTAAGTTCCAGATTAGATAAGAAGTAAACAAGATAAGGTTCATTCTTCGTTATTATTGGCAACTGATTTTTTTTTAAATTCATATAGACAGAAAAATAACTATTTCTTACCAAAATGCATATCATACATGTTATACAATCTTTCAAATTGAAGAAAAAGGTGCTATCTCATCTGTATATCCCTTATATTCATATATGAAATAACATTTACAAAACATCTTTTGAATGAAATCCTGAATATAAAGATAATCAATGTCATCAGATTTATAGAATACTTACATTAATTACAATACAAAATATATGACCACCATTAACCACCTCACTTGGACCAGGGAAATTTTCATCCATCTGCACTGCAGATCTTACTAAAATTCCTGAAACAGATTGTATTGATAATCATGAGAATATTATATAGGAACCAAGGTCAAAATTCAAATATTTATTTTCACTTCATTTATAGGCATGGCTATAACCTTAAAAACAAATTACTAATTTATTTTCATTTGCCAGGCCCCTCATGGGGGTGTCCAAGTAATCACATAATCATTAATTGTTTTTTTAAACAAGATAATCAAATAATCAAAAATACAGTTCTAAATTATGAAATAATCAAATAATCATGAAATATTTGGTCTGGTAATCAAATTATCACTATAAAAACCACATGAGGAGGCTCATTTGCTGGATACAAATATTCATTTATCATCTGGGTTAAGGTAAAACACAAATTAAATCCTCAATAAAGTTTTCTATAGACCAAATCCTCAATAAAGAACAAGTTTTCTATAGACCAAATCCTCAATAAAGTACAAGTTTTCTATAGACCAAATCCTCAATAAAGTACAAGTTTTCTATAGACCAAATCCTCAATAAAGTACAAGTTTTCTATAGACCAAATCCTCAATAAAGTTCAAGTTTTCTATAGACCAAATCCTCAATAAAGAACAAGTTTTCTATAGACCAAATCCTCAATAAAGTACAAGTTTTCTATAGACCAAATCCTCAATAAAGTTCAAGTTTTCTATAGACCAAATCCTCAATAAAGTTCAAGTTTTCTATAGACCAAATCCTCAATAAAGTACAAGTTTTCTATAGACCAAATCCTCAATAAAGTACTAGTTTTCTATAGACCAAATCCTCAATAAAGTACAAGTTTTCTATAGACCAAATCCTCAATAAAGTACAAGTTTTCTATAGACCAAATCCTCAATAAAGTACAAGATTTCTATAGACCAAATCCTCAATAAAGTTCAAGTCTCCAATAGACCAAATCCTCAATAAAGTACAAGTCTTCTATAGACCAAATCCTTAATAAAGTACAAGTTTTCTATAGACCCAATCCTCAATAAAGTACAAGTTTTCTATAGAACAAATCCTGAATAAAGTTCAAGTTTTCTATAGACCAAATCCTCAATACAGTACAAGATTTCTCTAGACCAAATCCTCAATAAAGTTCAAGTTTTCTATAGACCAAATCTTGAATAAAGTTCAAGTTTTCTATAGACCAAATCCTCAATAAAGTTCAAGTTTTCTATAGACCAAATCCTCAATAAAGAACAAGTTTTCTATAGACCAAATCCTCAATAAAGTACAAGTTTTCTATAGACCAAATCCTGAATAAAGTACAAGTTTTCTATAGACCAAATCCTCAATAAAGTACAAGATTTCTATAGACCAAATCCTCAATAAAGTTCAAGTTTTCTATAGACCAAATCCTCAATAAAGTACAAGTTTTCTATAGACCAAATCCTGAATAAAGTACAAGTTTTCTATAGACCAAATCCTCAATAAAGTACAAGATTTCTATAGACCAAATCCTCAATAAAGTTCAAGTTTTCTATAGAGCAAATCCTCAATAAAGTACAAGTTTTCTATAGACCAAATTCTTTGACCAAATCCTCAATAAAGTACAAGTTTTCTATAGACCAAATCCTCAATAAAGTACAAGATTTCTATAGACCATATGCTGACATATAATATAAAAACAAGAAGATGTGGTATGACTGCCAATGAGATAACTCTCCACAAGAGGCTAAATGACATTGAAGTTAACAACTATGGGTCATCTTACTGCCTTCAACAATGAGCAAAACCCATACCGCATAATCAGCTATAAAAGGCCCTGAAAAGACAAATGTAAAACAATTCAAACAAGAAAACTAATGGCCTAATTTATGTACAAAACAATGAACGAGATAAACAAATATGATATACAATGTAAAGCAACAAACAACAAACATTGAATTACAGGCTCTTGACTTGGGACAGGCACATACAGAATGTGACGGGGTTAAACTAGTTTGATGGTGCCAAACCCTCCCTTAACCTGGAATAGTGGCAGTACAAAATAAGAACAAACTATAAAAATCAGTTGAAAAGGGCTGAACTCATTAAATCGATATAAAGCAGAAAGACATCTTTAAACAAAAACACAGACCAGACGTGGCAGGGTATTTATACATCCCAACAACAAATAAGATACTAAGTACAGATCGTACAAGGTCATTTTGAATTTTTAATGCTGAGACTCTCGAACTTCAGGGAACAAACAAAATTCAATACCGAAATTAATTGAAAGAAGAATAATTATTTGAGACTTTTAATATATTGTATAAATAAATATTGTTCATAGTAATAATATGTGTACTTATGCCTCTAAAAATGTATTTATTGAGTAGGGTATGAACCTCGTCATTAGTTGTCTTATGCCAAATCTGAATGCTGGAGAATTAGGTGTTGATGACAGATCTATTGTTGTTTCACAATTTTTACAGACTAGGAAAGATTGAGAGCTAGACTTATTGTTGAAGACTATATTTTGCACTCTAGATGTCTTGGCTATTTTTATCATTGCTGAAGACTATATTTTGCCCTCTAGATGTCTTGGCTATTTTTATCATTGCTGAAAACTATATTTTGCCCTCTAGATGTCTTGGCTATTTTTATCACTGCTGAAGACTATATTTTGCCATCTAGATGGCTTGGCTATTTTTATCATTGCTGAAGACTATATTTTGCCCTCTAGATGTCTTGGCTATTTTTATCAGCATTGATATAATGTATACACCATGAAAAATATTGATGACGGGTTCAAAGTTTATATCAACAACATTTTCAAAATGAAAAAAAAACAATCTCTGTAAAATAATATGAACTACATTTATGAATTTTAATTACAATATACCATGATACAATTTGTCTGCAGAATTATCATGACTATGGACTGACTCGATTGCAGTGAAAAGAATAGGTCCATATCAACTTAATAATACACAATCTGTGTAAATGGGTGCTTGAGTACATTCTTCATCACATTGCTAATTTATTGAGACTTCATTTTACATAGAAACACAAGACACAGTATCCCTGTTTTTCTGGTTTGATCTTTGTGTGATAATTCTCTATCTCACGATTTCTTATGGATCAGGAGAATGGATTTTCTCAAATTTATAAGTTGTGCGAGAACACAATAATGTCATAAGTCAATGTCAATGACATTGCCTAGGGAAAAGCAATAAACAGATTATCAACATTCTTTCAACTCCAGGAAGTTTCTTGGCTACATCAATGAGATGGTTGCCAAAAAACTCCCTCTAGATTTCAAAACCATAGATAATCTATAAGTGTGTAATGAAGGTGTGTACTCATGTACATGTATCATGTGCATAAACAAACATTTTTCCAAAACAACACAAAAATGAAACATTTCTAGACCAGCTGCTCTAGACTCATCATCTTTTTCTTACCTAAAGTGCCAAGGAAACTTGTAATCACAACAGCTCTTATTATAGCATTTAAATTTGGTCCAACAAGAATACGTCCAGGATTTCTCCACCATTCTGATCCTCTCACATCTCTAGGTAACAAGAGATAGATAACAACCAGCAAACTTATCATACAGAATGTCATAGCAACAATCGTGACAACTCTCTCCACCAATACTCTCGCCTCATGATGATGATCATGTTTAGTGATGTTATTGTAAACAGCACAGGTATGGAAGAAAGCTGGTGATGCCATGGCTACTGTTGATATTAGAGATTATCTTCCTCCATTGTGTTCTGTTAAATAAAAACATAAAGGGAATATTCATTAGTGTTATACAAATGAGAAATGTACTTTCTACATTATCTAGCTTGATGTTACCAAGGGGGATCTCTTCCTATACGAAGTTAATTCAGATATATATACAGATACATATTTGGCGAAATTAATCATTTCTGGATAATAAATAATTCTTTGTATTATTAAATGATATGAGTAAATCAGCCCTATTACGGATAAATCAGCATGTGCAATACTAGTGACGTTGTCCTGTCGATATAAATCCGGAGTTAATATTGGTTTTCGGACAGGGCCAATACGGAATAAACTGCTTCGCTGAGCGCAGCTGGATACGCCCGCAGAGGTCCAACCCTGAACAGTTGGGGCAAAAATGGACACAATATTCAAGCTTGATACAGGTCTGAATTTGGATTGTAATTCAATATTTGATCTATTATAGGTTTCTGAATAAATGTAGTCAAAGAACTAGAAATTGGTTATATGAAAGATTTCTTGCTGTTGTTGTGCAATATACACTGTGCTGTTGTGTAACACTTAGTAAATCTGTTGTCAGACTATAAACAAATAAAATCTTATTACTATAAACAAATAAAATCTTATAACTGGGAAACATAAAATCGAAAATTTATAAAAATCAAAAGGGATCTTACAAAAATAGTTATAAACAATTTACCAAAGTTTCATAAAAAATGCTAAAAGCATTTTTGAGTTATTGTCCGAAAACTGGAAAATCCCCCTTTTTGTAATGAATAAAACCCAATAAATCTGAAACGTATAGTCTGAAATTTATAATAAAATGCTCCGCAGGGCGCAGCTTGATACGACCGCAGAGGTCGAACCCTGAACAGTTGGGGGAAGTATGGACACAACATTCAAGCTTGATACAGCTTTGCATTTGGATTGTGATTAAATATTTGACACAGCATAGGTTTCTAACACAGAATGAATGTGGTCTAAGAACTTAAAAATTTTAAATTGGACATTCACCTATTATGGTCCAATATCCAAAATCTAAATACATGGTTAGATTCAGCATATCAAAGAACCCCATATATTCAATTTTTTTTAAATCAAACAAAGTTTAATTTTGGACCCTGATTTGGACCAACTTGAAAACTGGGCCCATAATCAAAAATCTAAATACATGTTTAGATTCAGCATATCAAAGAACCCTGAGAATTCAATTTTTGTTAAAATCAAACTAAGTTTAATTTTGGACCCTTTGGACCTTAATGTAGACCAATTTGAAAACGGAACCAAAAATTAAGAATCAAAATACACAGTTAGATTCGGCATATCAAAGAACCCCAATAATTCAATTTTTGATGAAATAAAACAAAGTTTAATTTTGGACCCTTTTGACCTCAATGTGGACAAAGTTGATAACGGGGCCCAAAAATCAAAAATCTAAATACATGGTTAGATTCAGCATATCAAAGAACCCCATATATTCAATTTTTGTTGAAATCAAACAAAGTTTAATTTTGGACCCTGATTTGGACCAACTTGAAAACTGGGCCCATAATCAAAAATCTAAATACATGTTTAGATTCAGCATATCAAAGAACCCTGAGAATTCAATTTTTGTTAAAATCAAACTAAGTTTAATTTTGGACCCTTTGGACCTTAATGTAGACCAATTTGAAAACGGAACCAAAAACCAAAAACTAAATACACGGTTAGATTCAGCATATTAAAGAACCCCATGAAATCAAGAATAAAACCCCATTGAAATTGGTCAAGAAATAAGTAATTTATAGGAAGTATCTTCTTTTGCACAATCCTGTGCTATTAAATATTTCTTGGTATTGCACAATACTGTACAATTGACAATTTCTTGCTATTGCGCAATATTGTGCTATTGGATATTTCTTGCTATTGCGCAATACTGTGCAATTGAAGATTTCTTGCTATTGCGCAATACTGTGCAATTGAAGATTTCTTGCTATTGTGCAATACTGTGCAATTGAAAATTTCTTGCTATTGCACAATACTTATTATATAATAATTTACACATCCTGTTTGGTGTGTATCTCCTACCATATCATTATTATTTGATTTTAAATATAAATCAGAAATAACCAACTTAAAATGGAAAATTTTAAAAGAAACAAAAAAGGAAAAAAAGAAAAAAAAGGAAAAAAAAATAAATCCCCCCCCCAAATTTTTTGAACCCCCTTATGATTCATCACCCCCAAACTCAATCCCAGCCTTCCCTTTGTGGTATGGTACCTTGCAGTACATTTTCAGAGAGATCCATACACTTGAACACAAGTTATTGTCTGGAAACTAGAAAAATGTGTTTTTTGGCCCCTTTTTGGCCCCAAATTCCTAAACGTTTAGAGTAATTACCCCCAAACTCAAACCCAGCTTTCCCTTTGTGATATGGAACCTTGTAGTACAATTTCAGAAAGATCCATACACTATCACACAAGTTATTGTCCTGAAACTAGAAAAATGCTTGTTTTTGGCCCCTTTTTGGCCCCTAATTCCTAAAATATTGAGGCAATTACCCCCATCATCAATCCCAGCCTTTCCTTTGTGGTATGGTACCTTGCAGTACAATTTCAGAGAGATCCATACACTTGAACACAAGTTTTTGTCTGGAAACTAGAAAAATGTGTTTTTTGGCCCCTTTTTGGCCCCCAATTCCTAAACGTTTCGGCAATTACCCCCAAACTCAATTCCAGCTTTCCCTTTGTGATATGGAACCTTGTAGTACAATTTCAGAAAGATCCATACACTTACACACAAGTTATTGTCATGAAACTAGAAAAATGCTTGTTTTTTGCCCCTTTTTTGGCCCCTAATTCCTAAAATTTTGAGGCAATTACACCAAAAATCAATCCCAGCATTCCTTTAGTGATATGGAACCTTGTGGTACAATGTCAGAGAGATCCATACACTAACACACAAGTTATGTCTGGAAGTTACAAAAATGCTTATTTTTGGCCCCTAATTCCTTTACTGTTGGTACCATAACCCCCAAAATCAATCCCAACCTTCCTTTTGTGGTATTGAACCTTGTGGTAAAATTTCATAAAGATCCATTCACTTAAACTAAAGTTAGAGTGCGAAAACCAATGTGTCTTCGGACGACGCAGGACGACGCCGGACGACGACGACGACGCCAACGTCATACCAATATACGACCACAAAAATTTTTTTGCGGTCGTATAAAAATCAAAAGGGAGCTTATGTCGATAAAAATAAACAATTCACCAAAGTTTCTTGCAAATTGGTGAAATTGTTTTTGAGTTATTGTCTGAAAACTGGAAAATCCCCCCTTTTTTAATGAATAAAACCCCAAAACTCGAAAACAGTAAATCCTAAATTTATAAAAAATGAGAGGGAGCTCACGTCAATAGATATGAACAATTCACAAAAGTTTCATGCATATTGATTAAAGTGTTTTTGAGTTATTGTCCGAAAACTGGAAAATCCCCCTTTTTTTAATGAATAAAACCCCAAAACTCGGAAATGGTAAATCTGAAATTTATTAAAAACGAAAGGGAGCTCACGTCAATAGATATAAACAATTCACTAAAATTTCATGCATATTGGTTAAAGTGTTTTTGAATTAATGTCCGACATGTTGACGACGGACGGACGGTCAGCGGTATACCATAATACGTCCCGTAAACGGGCGTATAAAAAGCCGTATTGGCCCCCGTATATTTGTCTTAGTTTCTTATTCTTTTAATATTTTTCTTGGTAATTATGTTGAGTAATCAAAGCACTGTAAGCGCTGTAGGCAGTTAACCAAAAACCAAGGCAAATGTAATTATGAAAACTGTGGCAGTGTTGCTTCATTTTTTTTAAAAAGATTTGAAAGAACAAACATTAAACATTCGTATATTGTACTTTTTGGAATTAAGGGTCCTCAATGCTCTTCAACTTTGTACTTGTTTGGCTTTATAACTATTTTGATCTGAGCGTCACTGATGAGTCTTATGTAGACAAAACGCGTGTCTGGCGTATTAAATTATAATTCTGGTACCTTTGATAACTAATTGTACATTTATGTTTATTTAATGAATTGATTATTAAGGTAAATTAATTAATATTTCATCAAGGTTTTCAAAAGCAACTCATATATCAATGTAAATGACCCCCATCTTCACCCCAAGTCCATCATGTCACTCCATACCAAGTTTGGAATAAAATGACAGGTGATTATAAAACAGTTTGTCAATCATTCTTGGGCTTTACACTGCTTGAAAGATTTATATGTTTTCCTTAAAATGAGCTATACATGAAAATTATTATAGGCCCAGAAATAAAATAATTAAAGTAAATTCAATTAACCTAGACTAATTTTTTGCATCAATAAAATTTTATAATAAACAAGAAATAATTGTAACAGGATGCCGTTACGAAGTCTCCCAAACAAAGCTCACATAATTCGTCATTCCCATGGTCGCCTGACATTGGGCAAAGTCCAGTACATATTGGTTTGGTCTAGTAACGTGATATGCATATGTGACCCTGTATGTCATTCAAATCTTTTTTGAAATGACGAACAAGAAAAAATAAAGTTGAGGAGTGGGTATCTCGACCATTTACAAGTTCTCTAACAGGGGGGAGTGGAGTGACCCAAGGGACTCCCCATATATTTCATTCGATTTGTTGTATTATCCCATTCATGAATATATATGGTTTAGGGGTGGGGATCTCGACGGTTTACAAGTTCTCAAACAGGAAGGGGTATGGTGACCCTAGGGACTCCCCATATATTTCATTTGATTTGTTATATTGTCCCATACATGAATATATATTTTTTAGGGGTGGGGATCTCGACCATTCCCAAGTTCTCAAACAGGAGGGGTGGGGTGACCCAAGGGACTCCCCATATATTTCATTTGATTTGTTATATTGTCCCATACATGAATATATATGTTTTAGGGGTGGGGATCTCGACCGTTTACAAGTTCTCAAACAGGGGGGGTTGACCCCAGGTACTCCCCTTTATTTCATTTGATTTGTTTTATTGTCC